TTGCCCATCTGAAAATGTGATTTTAAAAACGGAAAGCATCAGATTCAGTTTTAGGTGATTGGATCATTTAGTTGTTGAGCATAATACATTTATTGATGAAGTTAAATGTTTTATTTTCTGTTTTTAAACAAATGTGTTTTTTAAACACATGCAAAGTAGAACATAAAAGACGAATGAGCAAACTGGGTTCTCTTCAAACTCGGATCTTTGAAAAGTGTCTTTAAGGAGGAGAATTTATGTCAAATAAGGAAATGCTTTGTTGTCACCAGGATATGCAAACTCACCAAGGTTTATGCAAACTTTATCTTGGCATGCACATTTACTGTCCTGTTCCTCAGCAACAGCCAAACATTACTCTTGCTTCTAGGTGTTGGCCTTACTTAGAGGAGTGTTTAAAATCCTGCTAGAGCTCTGTTACATCCTCCTCAATCCAGTGTCATGCCTTTTCACATAATGTTGACATAAAGTGGGAGTTAAGGTTATCCTCAGGGCCAGTCTTTCACAGAGAAGGGTCAACAAAAATACAATAAAAAAACAAGGCTATGTGTGAGGGAGAAAAAAAGAAATTACAGAAGACAGAACAAACAAGATAATCAGTAGGGAAGGGAAATTGAGGTCTTACATTTTGATTCGATACAACCTCTTTATTCTCTTTACTTTCTCTTAGTGTTCTGTAATTGAACACAAACACAGTCTTTTTCTTCCTTCGCACTGACAGAGCGTCATCAGAGAGAGGCTAAGTGATGGAGATGGCTCTCAGATGCTTTTATTGCCTGCCTGCCTCTCTCTCAACACTCCTCTCCCTCTCTTCATCCTCGTGCTGTTGCTCCTCTCTGGAGGGGTTTCCACTGTTGTTTGTCTTCCTGCCAGTCAGTTTTAGATGGCTGGATATGTCACAGCTTACTTGAACACACAGTTTTTGTCCCTTAGTGCATGTTTCTCTGACAACCAGCGCACATAAAACATGAGGTGTACACACACACACACACACACACACACACACACACACACACTCACACACACACACTGATGGCTCTCTGATTAGACTGAATGAAACATTTGTAGGTGCAGTGTTTTGCTGAGGCACATGGAACCATCACAGACTCTCATGATATGATAGATAATGTTGTTGCCGTCACACACTAAATAGCGCTGTCATATTTCATTGTAGTGTAATCACAGGTTTCACATTGTATCCAAGCAGCAAAAAACAACATCTTAGCCTTCTTTTCCCAGAAAAAGATCTCAGTATTCTAACTAGATTCAGATTATTTTTGTTTTGGGCATATTTATGTCAATTAGAGTATTTAAGAGTCAACTGCGCATGGTTTTTAGAAATAGTTAGTTTATGAAACAGGGAAGTTCTTTGTCACTAGAGGTCTGATGGTGTCAGGTCCCTCTCTACAGTCAAGACAACTACACATGTAGGCTATGTATGTGTGTCTGTTGTTTTTTTGTGTCACACTAAGCTTGTCCCTACCTCCAAAAACAGATTCAAGGCTCATGTGTTATGTTGTATTGTTCAGACCTAGTTATCAGAGCCACACTCAGTCCCCAGGCGAAACACTCTATACAGGCCAGTTTGTCTCTACAATACTGGGGAATCTGGGTTCCCATGGATGACTTGACTGAAGCCTGTTCATTCATGACTGGAGCACAATACAAGTGCCTCCTGATATTTCACTGATAGCCTCGATATCCAGGCTCAGAGAATAGTAAGGCTTCACGATCCTTGAGGGGGGAAATAATTCTATGATAATGACGCCCTCTTACAAATTGTTAAAGTTTTCTTTAACTCCCCTTATTTGAGTTTGTGTTGAAATGATTAACACGTTGAAATGATGTCTCTGATATATTTTGTCTCTTTGTTTTTTTTTGTTGTTTCATGATTTGTTTTTCATCACACATACCAGTGAGGGAAGTAACTTGACCCCGGCGCATCACTATCCCGACTTCCGCTTCAAGACCTACGCTCCGCTGGCCTTCAGATACTTCAGGGATCTGTTTGGCATCAAACCAGATGACTACCTGGTAAGAGATCAACCTTTACACGATCATGCTCACCCAAAAGCTAGATCTCTAGTTCAGTATCTCTGCTTTATAAAAACATACTTACTAAAAGTCAAGCAAGTGTTGAGGGTGTATTATGGGCATTCTTAAATTAGTGATCACCATTGTATACCTAAACTAAGGCGCCATGTAACGTCAGATATAATTCACCACTGTATGCTTGAGTTTCCCCCAGAAAAAGGCAATAGTTACATGTTTGAAAATCTTTAAAGACAAACTGGAGTAGTGACTTTTTTCTAGCCGGAAGGTTTTCGCTAACCCCAATTTAAATGCCTATTCTCTATTTAAAACTACAGATCAGCCAAACATCATTATGCAAGGATAAGACAGGGCTGAAGGGAGTAAACAATGGCGGTGGCGTTGAAGGTATTAGATGTAATACCTGGGCTAACAGGGTGTGCCCTCATTATGACGTCTTTAAACAGCTCCTAATGTTGCATGATGATTATGTAATGATGTTAAAAAACCCAGACTGAGAAAGAGAAAATCATTTCCTGAAAGATGCTCTGCATATGTATTAAACAGTTTTTGGATCATTTTTTTTGCTTCTTATTTGCACATGTTGTCCTGTGTGAAAATATTCTCCATCTGACCCCACGGGTGTCTCACGAGGTGTGTTCAATCAGCCCTGTCAAAACCATTATTCACACACGTTACACACCACCCTGTATGTTAATTTAATTGGCTGTTCACCAAGGAGCACCTTGTTGCCATATTCATCCCTACTTAACACGTACGCCTCTTGCTCAGAAACAAATTAGATTTGGTGTAATCGTGTTTGAGCTTTGTTTTATTGGGAAGCTGTTTCCTGTTTTCTCCCTGCCTTCAAGCCTTTTCAAAACCCTACAGCTGCATTCTTGTTTTTGAATACTAAATATGTTTTTTTTTGCATGAGGGAAAAACAAAGGTCTGTGAAAACAGCACAGATGAAATTTAACTTAGAGACAATTAACAGAAGAGGGCATAAGGCACTGCCGCTTGGAGGATGTTCTGCTTATTGATGTCTTTGAGGTGAAGATAATTTAATTTAGACACAAGCCAGGCAGAAAACAGAGAACACACACACACACTCATAAGCACACATACACATGCACTGTATCCTGAATGTAAATACAATAACAGGGATATGTTTGTGCTTGTGGTAACTTAACGTGATGATGGTCATCAGTGGGTGAGTCTCTGGAGAGGGAGTCTCCTCAAGTGTTTCTCCTCTCCCCTGAAAATGTTGCACTCGTAATGCACTGATTAACATCCAACCTTATCCTCGGCCAGCTGCCCTCACTGGCCCTCCCTCCTGACTTGCCATGCTGAGATGACAGCTCATTAACGTGGCTGTGGAGTTGATGTTTAGGTCTATGTTAGTGGGCTTGTTTTCTATTTGTCAGGGTTTTGATCCTGTGATCTGGATCTGGTATTTCAGCTAATCATTCATTCCTGTTTGGTTTTGTTTTTTTTAAATTTAGAAAACCTGAAGGCTAATGTGAGCTGTTGTCTGGTATTAGCTGATGAATTATTTACCGTACATTTCCAAAGGAAATGAAAACCACAGTTTTTCCCTTCGTTACTAAATAAACCAAACATCCCTCTGGTGTAGCACTTTATTTATCATGTTTTCCCTAAAAAAGAAGGTTAAATGTTTACCATGTTGTTCCACGTGTTAAGAGCTGTGTATGTTTTCCTTCCTCAGTACTCAATGGTGAATGAGCCTCTCATCGAGCTAACCAACCCGGGGGCCAGCGGCTCTCTCTTCTACCTAACTAGCGATGACGAGTTCATCATTAAAACCGTCCAGCACAAAGAGGCCAAGTTTCTGCAGAGACTGCTGCCTGGATACTACATGGTGAGACGTTCTACATGTAGGTTTCTCAATGAGGTTGAGAAATCTACTCAGTGTTGATGGGGGTCTTAAACCCCTTTGAACTGATTACTCAACAGATGTTTTTGTGGCATAAATGAGTTGCAGAGAACACTGTCAGGCTGAGAAGTGTCGCAGTCAAGAAGGTTGAGGACATGTGGGCTGCATGCACAGAAGTTGAGCCCCTACTCAAACAGTAACCTATAAGCATTTTAAGAAACCCTGGACCCATACTGGTGTTTACCTCACACTTCTTTAGATTGTAAAAGAAAAGAAGCTTACAAAAAAAAAGTAACATGGTAATTTGGATATTTTAACACTTTTTTAATTTAGAAAAATTGGTCTGTTTTTGGTTTTCTGCAGTAATGTAAATACCCCAAATGTTTTTATTTTGTTAGGTCATTTACAACATATTTATAACCAAAACAGAAACCAGGAACCAAACTGTTTCCATTTATCATACTTACAGCTTCCTTATTAGATAGTAAGAGTACAGTCAATCAAATGATCCCCAAATTTGGATCCCGGTCACAACATTGTTACTGAAGCTGTCTTTCAACTCCCAGAACCTGAACCAGAATCTACGCACACTACTGCCCAAGTTCTACGGACTCTACTGCATCCAGTCCGGAGGAATCAACATCCGACTGGTGGTGATGAACAATGTGCTGCCGCGCTCCGTCAAAATGAACTACAAATACGACCTGAAGGGATCAACCTACAAGAGACGAGCGTCCAGGAAGGAGAGAGAGAAGGCCTCTCCGACCTACAAAGACCTGGATTTTCAGGACATGCATGAAGAAGGGCTTTACTTTGACCCGGAGACATACAACAACCTAATGAAGACCCTGCAGAGAGACTGTCGGGTAAGTGGTTGTCTCTGTCTTTTCATTGCACTGATTTTTAAGTTACAAAGTCAAACCCCCACAGAAAAGTCTCTTTAATTCCATAAAAGGAAACTGCATAACAAACAAACCAAGTCCAGATTCAGATGATTTTCATTACCAGAATGCTTTCCTTCAACTGGCAAATGTCATTGAATTCTCGTGTCTTCATTCCCTCACTAAATCATCTTGACCTCTGTGTAGCAAAGCCCCTCATGGACAACATGTCATGTGCAGAGTTAGATCTCAGAGCAGATTGCTTTGAACCTGGGAATTGACTTAAGTTAAGGGACATTAATGTTGAAGGGTTGTTATTGGCCTCTCATTCTTGTGACTCATTATGCAATAATACACACACAATAAGTCTAAAATTGATGTGTGCATGTGTGCATCTTAAATTGGAGAAAAGGAGTTTTCCATCTTTTTGCACAGCGTGTTCTTCAGAGCGAGCTCTCAGTTTGCCCCGGGCTCTGTGCTCCTGTCCCTCTGCTGCTTTGTTTCTGTACATGATGGCTCTCAAAACATCCAGTGCAATTTAGACATGATCCTGGTAGCGTGAGAGACTCGGAGCTCAGACCAAAGATGGTTCCCCAGTCAAAAGCCTTACATTCTTCTTCTATTTTTTTTTCACTGAGGCAAGAAAACAGCTGGATGAGGAAATTGGAGTTCAGTAGTTGACGTAGTCTGTGCTCATGTGATGTTATATCCATGTTCATTATCCTACCTTGAAAGCATGCAAACATGGATTGTGAGTCCAGGAAAGTGTAGTGTGGTAAATGGAAAAAGGATGGAGCAGGCCTTCAGGCTTTGTAAGTAAAAAGAAAAGAAGCGCTTGTTTTGGCCTGCCCTTTGCATTTGAAATAACAACAACAGAGTCACTGTGGTAATCATAGAGTTACAGCCAAGAAATGTGAAAGATAACGCCACTGATCAAATGATTTGGAATGATACATCTTGCTTCAAACTGTACAAGAAGTTGTTTGTATTGGTTCTCAATGAACCAAATATGTATTTCTGTAGTGACATTCATGCACGGTTAAAAAGGGGGATGAGGTCTAGGGTTATTGGAGTAGCTTTATGAGTGATGACAGTATGGCTGGTATAATATGTTTTACTCTCATAGTGGCTGGTTAATGATGGGGATTAAAACCTAAAGCCCCCTCTGTTGTAATCCCATTTGTTCTGCATGAAAAACAGTAATTGCACACACACACACACACACACACACACACACACACACACACACACACACACCCTTTCAGAATACACACTGTTTTCATATGGGGCACCTACTGTGATCTGAAACCTGTGTCCCTATTCCTAAGTACAAAGAGTTGTTCCTACTCACAAAGAAAATTCTCAGAATCAGGACATTTTCTAAGAACTTCCCCTTGAAGTAAGGACTAGATCCTGGTGAAGATATAAGTTATTCACAAAGCATCTTAGCCCTCAAGAGAGCTCCTGTGGTGTAAAACTGTTTGGAGGAGTGAGGAGGGCTTTTAAGAGGCTTAATATGATTTTCAAAAATGAAAATCCAGATTTTCTCTTCATCCTATTTCGTCACTCCCCTGGGGGGCCCCTAGTTCACATTCTTCCCCATAGTTAACTTCCTACAGAGTGGCTGAGTGTCCCCTGTTATGTTGTAACCAGCCGCCTGGATTTAGCTGAAGTTGCTTTGCCTACACTGTACTTTGGCTGTAGCCTGAAACTGCATAGTGCTCTTTTAAAGACACGTTTACAGCTTGCATTTTAACCCCTAAAGAGAAGTTACTTTATTAATATTCAAAGGGAAATTCAGTTTCAGGCTTTTTAGTTACATTTTATTGATAAAATGTAAGCATGAGCAAAACATATTTCGAGTCACGACTTTGCCATTTATATATTTTTTTGTTTTATGTGAAATAAATTGATTAAAATCATGAATCGAATTTGGTGTGAAAAAATATTATTTTATATTTAAGCCATATCTCCAGCCCTAGCAGACATTTCAATCCTTTTTTCACTTTTGTTAGTGCATGATTAAAGGCCCTTAACGTGCTAATGTAACTGCATGTCAGCATGTGAAGAGGCTGCTGCACGAGTGGCGATGTGTTTTCATGTGTAAGCTATTTACTCTTAAATTATGGCTTACAAATTATTCAACAGAGATGATAATTGCATATTGTTCATCATTACACCATGTTTGACTGATGCTGTGATTGGGTTCAATCAATTTCAGTGTCCATCTATGCCAGTTATCACTAAGAGAGCTTGTTTTTCACCATGTTCCAACTTCTGAAAATGTGTCTTACCTAGTTGACCACGCCGCCTCACTGAGATAAAAGTTTCTGTCCCTTTCTCGCTTTGAGTTGCACCGAGAATGTTCTTATATCTAAGCTTGGACTCTTTGATAGAAAGGGGGCATTTTGTGCCTTTGTTTTAGAGGTAGATCAGATAGAGTCAGAAACGAGGGAGAGAGAGAGACTGGAGAACGACATGTGGGAAGTGAGCCTGATTCAGACCCGTGGAGCCCGCTCTGAAGGACTTTGACCACTATACAGTACATGCTACAACTACTATGCTACCGGTGCCCCATTGCTAGGATGTGTTAGGCCAAGTTAGGATTCTCTCGGAGGATTCTCAGATTTATTGTGAATACGGCCACTGGAACCTGACCAGGATCTTACTGTAAGTGTTACAATGTTACAGTTCACTTAGCAGACGCTTTTATCCAAAGCGACGTACATCAGAGATTGGCGGTCAGTGTATCAGAAAAAGCCCACAGACCTGTAACTGAGACTTCCCGTCAGACTTCCTGCTGGGACCTTCCTGAAACCTGTCAGAACTGGCAACCCTGCATGGCACCACACAGCTAATGACTTAATGACTTCCATATCACCAGCCTCAGCTTAAAGTTCACATTTTTAGTGTGTGGGAAATTGGAATAAAAAAAACCTTTATAGCCAAACTCTGATTGATGACGCATGAAACTGAATTAGCGTTAATGAACAGTGTGATGCTGTGGGTATATTTAGTTTGTCCTGTTAGGTAGCAGAGCTCTACTCTCTTCTCTCACCCTCCTTTCTGAGTTAATGAAAAAGAAGATTTATATTAGAAGATACCAAAGTAGTGGACATAATTGTACTTTACTTGAATATTTTCATCTAATGCTTCAACATTTCAGATGGAGATATTGTACTTTTACTACACTATCGTAGTGAAATGAATAAGAGCTTAAATAATTTGAAGTTGAACTACACAATCACTGTGAAGGCTCCCTTTTGACTCTGAGTAATAGTGACATCTTTTTTAATCAGTTTGATTAGATTTTCTTCTCTTCAAACTAAACAACCAAACTTATTATCAATAAAATGATGATGAAATCTGTTGTTAAAATTATCATGAGTTGCAACCCATTAAAACAATGTTAAAAATGAGCTTCAGCTCAGCTGAAAAATCCTGATTTGAAATGAGGCATTGGTGACTACTTTCTTATAATATATTTTGTAAATGAGTATATTGTGGTAATAATATTATTTATTGACTTTACTGACTTTATTCTTAAATATGTGAACTTTTCTATTGCAGGGCTTCTACAAGTGTTAGTCATTAGTCATGTTGCTTTAGTAAAAGATCTTAATAATTAATACTTAAATGATGAAATAACATGACTTTCTGATTTATGGAAGAGTATTCAGTTTTTCCCACACTAGTTTGTTGTTCAGTGTTGCTCATGTGAGAAAGTGGAGATCTTAAGCCATACTGTGTAAGCAGATGTGAACAACTGTGACTTTTCCACATCTGAAGTCAAATCGTACCTCGACTGCTTTTGGACAGACCTGGTTCTTGTGATGTTTGTTTAAAGTTGCCAGGAATTCGTAGGGAAATTCAAATGATCTCGTCATGTTATGGCTCCTCTCATCATTAACTAACATGCTGACTTCCTCTTTGTTCTCAGAAAGATATCCTCTCTTCTTGCTAAGTCAGTGGTTTCTTTAATGAAACCTGAAAGCACACTCATATTAACAGTTTGCAACAGCCTTCCTACCATATGTGTTCATGTAGGAGTGCAGGCCTCTGTATGCCACATGTGTAATGTATATTGTGTTGTGTGTATGTGAATGAGAGTGTTGACCAGCAGCTGTGACAGACTCTGTGCTGTACAGTTTGTTATTGTCACGGCTTCCTGCTCTCGCCTCCTGAGCGGGAAGCAAAGTGCCCTCTAAGCAGAATCAGCGTCCATTTTCATGAGTAAGCAGCTAACCCTGTCACCCCAGGAGAGGCTGCTGATCAAAACACAGAGGAGGGTCTGCAAACACCAAGCGACAGGGGGGTGCGAGGCGTTTAGTGAACAAGGAAATGAAGGAGGGGGGGAGATAGTTGTCCTATTAAAGAACGTGTGGTGAGGCCTCTGGAAAGCACATTTTTACTGTTTTTGCTTGGCTTGAAGCGCTGTGATTTCTGTTTCATAGGAATGTGGGAGGTGAAAGTTAAAGCGCAAAGCTCAAAAAATGAGCAGAAGACGAGTAGCAATGACTTTCCGGGAATCCGATATTTGTTCCTTTTAGTCTTTTCTCTGCAGCTCCCCTGATACTCCCATAATGCCAAAACAACACGAGGCATTAATAATTCATGTTGAACTCTAATGTACAGAGAGAAAGAAAGTGTGAGTGAATGTGTGTTGATGGTATTTCCTGATGGGTGAGTCTGATTTCACTGAGAATCAACTCATGTCCCTGTTGCGTTACAGTGACTGTGCTGAGCTGTGATTAAGATGTGATGAATTTAGTGATGCTGTTTAAGATGTCAGGCTGTCCAGAGGTTTTTCCTCTCAGCAAAATGTGTAGGTCTAGTAATCGCATCATTTCTGTGACAACCCTGACACAATGTCATCTTGTGCGGTTTTGTCTCAATTCTGTTGAGAATCAGCGAAACAGGAGTTCTTCAATTTCACGTTTGAACAAGAGTCGATATAAGGATTCAATGTAGGCATGCATTCTTGGAAGTGGCACAGAAGCCTGGCCAATCATAAACAACAATTTACTGTATGTTCCCCCTCTCCGCGGCCATGTGATGCTGTGACAACAATGGTTTCTCTCACGCTCAGCTGCGGAAAAGTAAGGGCGTCTCTGACCTTGCAGTCAGAAGTCAGTGCAGCTACAACAAAGATCCTGAACCACAGTCACAGCACATGGCTGTAACCTTTTTATAACCCAGGTCTAAGACCGCCTATAATGTTTTTTTTTTTTTTTTTTGCTGATCTCCTGCTGACTGTATGGTGTTGATAAACTAGTATTGCTTGGACTGGAAAACCTTAACACATAATTTGGAATTCACAGATTTTGCCTGAATCTGTGAACTTTTTTGTTGTACTGGATACTTTATAAGGAGATGAAAAATACATTTGGTTTACAGTTTATAAAGTGCTTGGGTTCAATCCAATGTAATCTAATACAGTAGTTCTACAACAATGGACAGTTGTTACAAGGTGACCTGCCAAGCGACTGCAGATGTAAATGAGCTCTAAGGTACAATGCATCAAATGGAAACATGAACGTTTAATATTGTACACAGTCCCTTTACAATGACAACAATTTGCTAAAAATAAACAAGACAAGTGAGTTTTATGAACTAGGTTTATGTGGAACCAAAGATGAATAAGAGTACTGTGTTATGTCCTATTGTTAACTCTACATGTGAGGCTGAGTCGTCATTAACTGAAGTGTTATATGACTGTTCAAGTCACACCCAGCTATCCTTCATCTAATGTGGTAGTAATCTGGGTAGTAGCAGGTTGTACGAATGAATAATTGATGTATAGTAGAGCAGTGTCAGTCCTGTGATTGTAACTGAACCCAGGCTTAATGTCACAGCAAAACGACTCATAGTTAAGAAGCATGCAGTGTGTAAATGTCACTGCAAAGCGAGGCACCATGGTGAGCACAGTGGAGCTCGTACTGACTGAGGCAGTTAGGCAGAGAAGGGCTTCATGTTTGAATTTAGTGAAAAATATAAATGGTTTGGCCAAGATCTGACAACAAAACAACAACGCTGTATTTAAAAAAACAATAGAGAAGTGTTGCTTCGGTGGACACCCAAACACTGAGGATCAGAAATACTCCACTCCACTCACTTTTAATTTTAAGAAGCTAAAGAAAGTCTCACAGAGAAAAATAATAACAGAAAAAGCTGCTGTTTTTTGCTGTGAAGCTTTGATTATGTGCTGGCTAAAGTTGGGGCCAGGACCAGCAGTGATGTCCGTCTGTAGGCAGTCTGGTGTGTATGGCTCTATTCAAAATGGCTGCAGTTTGAATAGGCTGGGGGAGTACAAGTGACAGGAGGCAAATTGTTGATATGGAAAAAGCAAAGCTCAAACAAAAGCCCCAGTGTTTGTACGGGTCTGTCTTTATGTCTATTTTGTATTCGTGTGTCTGAGTCTGGATGTGTGTGTCTCTCATACAAATGCAAATTGTATTTAGAACCGACACAAATAACGTTTCTGACCACGCGTCGAAAATGCCTCATCTAGAGGAAGATAAGAGGAAGTTGTAGGTCAGCTTCGAAACACTTTTGGTCTCACATTCTTCACACAGATAGGCCAGCTTTCTCTGGATTCTGGGTCACGACTCTCTTCGATTATAGCCTATATGATTTTTTTAATTGCTTCTAATCCTATTGGTTTAGCAATGTGTTGTTTAAATTGTATAAGTGAGATTATCCTAGACAATAATAATCAACCTCAAACAAACATCAGGCTTAGGTTTTGCTCTGACTATTTCTTTATCTCTGAAGCAACTTTAGAAACATACATTTTGGAATTGTAGGGAGTTTTTTGACAGACAAGGCTTTTGGTTTTGATTTCTTACATCAAGGGAATTTAAGAGACTAAATGTATTTTTTCAAACTCTTTGTAAAAAAAATATTCAAATCACCATTTCTGTCAATTTATACTTTTTGTATTTCTCTTTCAGCCCTTTGTTAATGCTTCATTTAAAGCTCAATTTAAGAATTATGACCCAGAACAGTAACTTTTTTGTCCAGTCTAGGTCATCAGATAAGCCCAGCTACCTGGCAGTGACCCTAATCCAGTTCTCCGATCAGACTCCTGCCTCTCTGTCTCGCCTTGTCTTGCCGTGACGGCTGTGCTTGAGCAGTGGGAGACAGAAAGTCGCAGAGTTTCTGGGAAACCGGGCAAAAGGCTCCTCAGACGGGTCAATGTGTAACACTTGGCTCAGTGTGGAGAAACACCTTGTTTATTTTGCTCAAACCTGCGTTGAGCAGAGATTTTCTTTTGCAAGCTCAAGGCCTTTGAGCTGGGAAGCACATTAGAGAATTCAAGTGTTAAGGGATAATAAGAATGAGATTCCCTATAAATGTCATAATGATTCTTGATTCACCTTCAGGGAGCTACAGGTGAAGAATTTAGTCCAGAAGCAAAGTTGCATTCAGTGTTCAAACAGGTCACAGGAAATATGATGTTTATTACAATCTGATTCATGTAAATGGACTTTTTGTGCATTTCTTCTTTTAACCACATGCCTTGTTACTTCCTGTAGGTGCTGGAGAGTTTTAAGATCATGGACTACAGCCTACTGCTGGGTGTTCACATCCTGGACCACAGCCAGAGAGAGGGGGGTGAGCCAGGCCAGGCAGGGGGGGACGGGAGGAGACCTGTGGGTCAGAGGGTGCTTTACTCCACCGCCATGGAGTCCATCCAGGGAGACGGCAAGGCAGCTGAAGCTCTCACCACAGACGACACGTGAGTGGGCTCAGCTGGGGGAAAACACACATTATGCTCACATATTTGGCCACACATACTCTGAGTGTGTGTGTGTGTGTGTGTGTGTGTGTGTGTGTGTGTGTGTGTGTGTGTCTCTCTCTCTTAATCTCCACCTTTTCTCTGACAGACACAGTTATACAACCAAGATCATAATTCTCACACAGTGTACACACAGTCCGGCTCTCTTATAACCATACTTCAGCCACAGCCACTGGTCTGCTTATTAGCAGCAATAAAGCTGATAATACTAATACCGTCTGCGCCCTTTTACAAACATTGTTTCCTGCGTTGCAAAAGAAAAATAGTTGCGAGTCTTTGACTGCTGCTGTTGCGTCTTACTCTGTTTCAGGATGGGTGGCATCCCCGCCAAAACACACAAAGAGGAAAAGCTTCTCATCTTCCTGGGTATCATCGACATTCTACAGTCGTATAGGTATGGTAACTTATCGATGAATTAATTCATCTGAATACTTGTTGGGTCATAAAAACAATTGACTTGATCAGCAGTAAAATGCCTCTCCAGTAGCCGCTGATACAGATGTGACCATTAACAGAGAATGAACATGATTAGGTAAAGCTCTCCGGAGTTTTCACCTGGTTAAAATAAGATAAGATACAACTTTATTTATTCTGAAGGAAATTCTTGTGCCAGGTTGCTTCAACATTACAACACAGGAAGAAGGCTTTGTATATGCAAGCTATAGTAATAGTGACATGAAGGAATATTGCACATGGTAATAAACACAATAAAGCCTGATATGGAAAGTAACGTTGCACATGATAGTCAAACATTCAAAGCCAGGTTTATCCGGCTCTGACCCTTCTTATAGACTGTGTTTTTAGTGCAGTCCAGTTTACTGCCAATGTGGACACCCAGTTATTTTATCGTCCACAACGTCCACCTCTTTACACTTGATGATGACCGCGTTAGGAGAGGTCGTGTGTGTCCTGAAGTCCTCCACCAAGTCCTTTGTATTTTTGTATGTTGAGCTGCAGGTGGTTTAGTCCACACTACATAGCACTCCACAAACCAAACTCCTGTCGTCAGTCCCCTGACCCCTTCTGATACAGCCCACAAAGGCAAGTCATCCAAAAAAAGACTGATATTGATGTCTCTTAAAGACCTACAAGAACAAACCAGACCATCAGCATAATGTTTTTATATTTCTATGTGATAATGTTTGTGTTTGACACAGGCTTCTCAACATCAGCCTGCATTGATGGAAAGAGCTCCAAGTTGGATTTGTCACACTCCTAAAAGGACTGAGGACATTTGAATCCATCCACCATGGATAGATAAATGGACACAGCATACATCATACCTTTAATTTTTTTTTTTGTCCTGAGACTAAAAATGTGGGAAACTCCAGTTTTTCAAACGTGGGTAAATTGAATCATCATCTCTGTGAGCCTGTTTGGTTGAGGCATCAGGTGCACTCATGGTGGGTAAGCTGAGATCAGGTCAGACAGGCAGGATGAGCAGGCCCAATTTGTCCCTTATCTTATTGTCGCTTCTCTTTAAGACACTTTTACATAACCTTATGCAAAGTATTATTTTGGCCAACAGCTGAAAAGTGACCTTGGTTTTTGTCATACCAACAGGGAAGGGGGAAGTATAAAGAGAAGGTTGTTGGGCCAGTGGGTACTTAATGACAAGCTTTCTTCTTGTTTTTTTTCTCTCTCTCTCCAGGTTCATTAAAAAGTTGGAACACTCGTGGAAAGCTCTGGTGTATGATGGCGTAAGTGGATACTCTGCTGCTTTCATGAATGAGCCTTTTATTTGGTCTTAGTTTTACATGTGCTGATAAAAGCCTAACATTTTCTCTGCCTGTCCTCAGGACTCAGTGTCGGTGCACAGGCCCGGGTTTTATGCCAGCCGCTTCCTCAAGTTCATGAGCACACGGGTCTTCAGGAAGAACCAACGTAAGTCTGCAGGATTGTTGTCCAACATGTGTTGCAAAAGAGCAAAGAGAAGGGCGAGTAATGGGTAGAAGGAAGTTCTTCTCTGATAAGAAAGTCAATCTTTTGCCAGTTTTAATTTTCTATTGCATCAGCTGTAACGTACTTGTCACATTTAAAGTATTATTGTTTCCTTGTTTTGTCTTTGCTTCACAGAAGGAACATTTTATTTTTTTATTTTTTTCGACTCTCAAGCATTTGATGCACATGATCTGTGATGTGCAGGGTTTAATTTAATTGTTGTTTTGCCATCCAGTAACAAAAGCACACAATCACAAATCATTGAGTTGGATACGAATATTTCGTTTAACTCCTTAAATTAAGATTAGGTTAATCCCCTTCAAAAAAATCCCCCTCACCATGCAGAAATGAGCCAAGCAGACCTCATAGTTGCATCACAGCCATTTATGATGTGTTTCAACCAGCAGAATCTGCAGAAGGTTGCAGCTTTATGCAAAACCTCAAGAAGTAGTTCTGGAAATGTGCATTTGCACCACGTTTAGTGTTAATGTTATGCAACCATGTGGAGGGGGCAAAATCATGGATGAAGCAAAGATTTGAGGATTTTGCAGCGCTATAAACCATCGCCAAGTCCCGTCAGAGGGGGATGATGGGAAAGGATTTAATTTCATGCCCTGCTTTGGAGGAAAGGATGACTTAGGGCACACTTGTGTAATTGTCATTATGCATTTTAACAGTACAGAAACTTAGCTGATTATTTTGGAGGCAGAGCAATAGAGATGTATTGTGTGTGAACATAGCTTCAATTAAATTCATCATCTCTTTCCAATATCCCCTCCAATTATCTTCTCCCCTTGCTCCTTCTGTTTCCCTGAATCTTTTTTTTTACGTTCTTTATCTCACTTGTGTGCTCCTTTTTCTTTTCTTTTTTTCTGTTGCTCTGCAGCACTTCGATTCTCCCCTTCAAAGAGGACTCGTACATCCATCCCGGCTCTGAAGTCTTCCTCACAGGAGATCCTTTCATCACAGGCGGATGAGAGGAACGAGGAGGACAGGAGGGTCAGGCTGGGAGGAGCGTGCAGTCTGGCAAGTCTGGATGGACAAGGTACGACAAAACTTTGCTTCCATAGTTTACTTTAAGCAATTTCCTCTGTTGGTAAGACATCTCACCTCGTGAATGTTAAACAACATTCAAGGATGTTTTAAAAAACTCAAAACCTGAATGATTCGATCATAAATGCACTTTAACAACTTCTCTGCCCTCTAATCCGCTGTTTGAGTCATGTTTTAGTTTTTGTGGTTTACTTGAGAATTTTTAGAAAAACTCATAAACAGCCACTTCCATTTGCCCATAAAAATGTTCTTTCAGCTCAGCCTTGGGGGTGCTGTCACTGGATGATACAGTAGTTGGCCATAATGGAAAGAAAACAGACTGTAACTTGTTATAAACAGTCATTCAGATCCACAGTGTGCATAAAATAATAGAGTAGTTTAACTTACCTTCCCTCTTTTACTTTATCTCATAATTACAATCTGACCCCAGAACAAGAAGTTATATGAATCAGGTCTGTGAGGAAGGGTGAAGGTGTCATTGAATGAATGGTTACGGTATGATTGGTAAGTTCAGCAGCAGAGTCTGACCTTTGCATTTGGTCATAAAAAACCAAGGTGTGTGCCTGAGTTTGCAGCGGAAAGAGAAGTAATGTGTCATGTTTCCTCTTTAACTTCACGTTTTAGTTTTTCCAACTAAGCATCTCAAACCATCAGCTCCGGCTGTGACACAACACACGATGAGGCAATTTGAATTGCGCAATCTTTATGTCTTTGTACTGTGAATGAGACTGAAAGAGGACAGAGAAAAGAAAGTTTAAACATTCATGATATAACTTCAAATTCTCTTCTCTTGTCTCAGTCAGTTGGATTACATGAAGAGGAGATAATGAGTGCCAGCTCTGTGTTTTGATCAATTCACCTGCACTTAGCTTTATTGATCATATTGACTGAATAATGGGGGATTTATGGTTTCACAAGAAATGATGGGTGTTAGTTGATGAGTGTTTTCTCACTTAAAAGGGGAACATATTTTATGAGAAAAGTTCAGTTTACTCCTTTTGGATACCACTCTGGCTGTAAAAAGGAGTATCCAAAACATGTAAGTGGACCTGAAGAAGCTTTCAATCAGATATATGTTATTCCTGCAGGGGCCCAAAAACATCAAATTCAAGAAAAAACCCCGGGATACAAACTGGGGCCTTGTATTTTGAAAGACGTTCAGTCCTTATAGGAGAAGATAGGAACAGAAAGCACATCTTTTCCTTTGTCTAAATGATGTTATGATTTTCTCCTCAGTTGTGTTTGATTCGTACGATCGTCCTGATCTGGTCCCTGCCATCCCGTCTTTCTACGAGGGCTCCTCCATGGGAACCATCTCCACCTCCTCCATCTTTGTCAACGTAGACAACCAAACAGAAGAGAGGTGCAGTGCCTGCTTGTTTTTTTTCCTCTCCGTCATTGCTCCCATTATATCAGGACACTCTGTTGATTTAGCAGCAGGTCTGGTAGTTTATATGAGGTTACTGTACACATGATTGACATCAGGACGGGAAGGAAGGCATGCAAATTGGCCACACCCAACGCAAACACACACTCCCTCACACACTTTATTGTCACCTGTGCTCTATTATGACATGGTTTTATTGGTGACATGGGTCATGGGGCAGGTGAGTCACTCAGCTGGCTCGAACACATGCATCCAGCACATAAACACACACAGCCTACAACACATTGAGTGTGCAGTCAAAGGTTGAGTTGTGTGGTTGTGGTCACCATCTTTCACTTTCAAAACATGGACAAAAACTACTCGAAAAAGCTACAGCTACATGAATCTTCTGTCTTATTGTAAAGTCTGATACAAAGGTTACTTTATTAGCAAATTTATATTCAAGCTTTATGTAACTGTCCCTTGACATTAAAGTCTATTTTACGAGGGAGACCTGGCCAAGACGGCACAGCAGTTACATTCTGCTATATCACTTTCTTTTGTGTGTTTATTGGGCAAGCCAAACATATTCCATTCCTTCCATTATTTTGTATAATGTTATACAAGTTTTCTCAAAACTGGAGAGATAGAAAATAAAATGATGATGATAATAATAGAAATATATATTTTTTGTAATAGAGAAATATAAAATAACAATGAGCACCACACATGCATACAGGTACTAGGATCTCATATACACAAGCAAAGACTAAATCAAGATGAAGTAAGAAACTTACATTTTAAAATTTCAGTGACTTTTAACAAGTCCTTGCCCCCCTCCCACACACACACACACACACACACACCTCGAGGACTAAAGGATTTTCATATTGAATTTTCTGCAAATTATTATACTTTGTTATGGTGCCAAGTTCAATAATTTCTTTTCCCAGACACGTTCACACTCTTGAAACCTTGTAGAGGCGCCTTCTTACTATACATTATGTATTCATAATCACTGTATTATACTAATAGGTGATTGCCCTTCTTATCTACTAAATACTCTGGCTTTTAGTAAAGGGCAGTTTCACACTTCACCTTCTTTGCTCTCGTCGTTTCGATCTCTCACCTCTCAATCTGTCCAGCAGTATCAGGTTCAGCTCCCTTTCCGAGGCACCATTGTGCGACTCGTCTGGTCTTGTCCCCTCATCAGTCACCTGCTGCTGCTCTGACATTGTTCTGTCAACTGTCTTCATAAATATTTAAACAGCGACTTTGACACGGCCTTACTTAGTGCCATTATGCTGCAGAAACCCTGTGACAAAGGAGGACAATCAGGACAGTGGAAACTGTATACAAACCAACAAACATCCATGTTTGACAGCCGCTCTGCCCGTTTCACTAGCAATACCTCATGTTAGGATGCTCCCAGGAAGGCATGTTTAAACATAAAGCTGTTATTTACACATATCTCTCCTCTTATTCATCCATTTATGTCTACAAGTATATTTCTCTACCTGGCTTTTTTTCTGACTTTGAACACAAAAGTAGGCAGTCACATGTCATAAAGGGTAAAAACACATTCCTGAATATATCAGGGAGTCACCTGATCTTCATATAATGATAAAACTCATATCGCCCCCTGGTGGCTGAATATGAAAATGCTATAAGTTTGAATCGATGCAGTCTGTTATTGCACCATTTCATATCATAATTAGATTACATGTGTTTGTGTCTAGTTTGATGTTTTTTTTTGTTTTTGTTAACTGTAGGTTCTCTTTAAAAGGACTTCATGTATTATCCATGTTGTGGTTGTGTTAATAATATCCGTCCCGTTTAGCATTCAGAGATAACATTTTTAGCTTTTTCTTAATCTAAAACCAAAAATGACTTATCTCAGTGCTTATCTGTAATGCTACATATGATCATCTGTGGTACAACATATCCAAGCAAAGGTTTCATTTTGACAAAGTCATTGTTTTCAAATCTTTCAAATCTTCAGATTTTGTTAATTTCCTGTAGGACATTTCTAAGAGTCTCTGAACAGAGGCCTCTGCTTACTTGACTTTATATGTGTTTCCCGTCCTGCCTGCTGTTGCTTTGTCTCCCAGATGTCAGATTCTGTGCATTAGTCATTTCTTTCTTTGTGATTTCTGGTTGATTCTCGCTTTAAAGTTTGTGAAGCTGCTTTATTTGAACCCTCAGTGCTGTCTACTTCATACAGGAGGTTTATATCAAGACATTTTCTATGTTTCAGAGAGGACGTTGGGTCCAGCTCCACGTTCACCCTGGAGGACAGCGCTATCTGCCTCAATTCGGAGCAAAGCACCATGGACGTGGACATAGACCGTGATGACGGATCAGTTCTGGATGTGTACTTGGTGAGTTTTTCTCCATTTGTTATCGCAGGTCATTGTCACATTTTGCTTACACATAAGAATTTGAGATGTTAGGTTATCTGTGTTTAGCTGGAATATATCATGACAAAAAAGGCTTTTACTGCAATGTTCAACCTTCCTTTTCTCTCTTCTCTACAACAGTGAAAGGAGCAGTTTTACAACCTTCATTTCCTCCTGCCAATCATAAGACAATCCCCTCACTCCATTGGACAGACCAGGCTGGCCTTTGACTCCACTTTCAGTGCTGCTACATTCATTTTGCCACACAAACTGCCAACACATGAAAAGACTGAGAATCCTCTCCTGTTCATGGACTGAAAGACAACACAGAGACACAGTGCTGGACATCAGCTGAAACCATGACATATCATGCAATGTGATGAACGTCATACTGAACTGAGAGCCGCTTTTAGAGCACGAGTCAACGCAGTGCCATTTAGTTTTATAATAGGTAAACTGTTCTCAATGCCTTCACAGAGACCTAAAGATTTGTTATATCAACTGTCTATATGAGGAGGGGGTAGAGACATTTCTTTAAATGATTTTTTTTCTACAGACCAGAAATAGAGACTTTCAAAGTTTTTATCTGCATTAGAAGCTGATCAGAGGAGTTTACGATGAATTTATAAAGGCATCTTTGTCCCTGATGAACGGGGACGTGTGGTCACAACATGGAAACAATCTGTATGTGAATCCCCGAGCCAATACAGATGAGAAAGGGCTGATCTGAACAGATGGGATGAAACATAGGAGTACAAACACCGACTGTGATTTGGCAGAAGTGGTCCTATTTCTCCTATCCTTTTATTCCTTGAACCAGTGGCCTTGGCGATGGGCTGCTGTAAAGTGAAGTGAGTAAAGACAGTTACTGGCTGTTTGATCGACCACAGAGCGGAGATGCTGCACTCGCTTTTGATTTAAAAAAAGCACTTTTGACATTGGTTGTGAATGATTACTGTAAGACATATTTTTCTCTGAAGGAGTTGCTTAGGTGGTAGGCTACCTGGCATAAGCACAGATTTGGATATGTGAATATGCACTTTTCTTTTTTTTCTCTTTTTACTCTACAAATGCAACCTCTGTAAGTCATCGATACTACATGTACAGAGAGAGTTAAGGATCATTGTGGATCATTTTTGATGTGGAGCTTCTAGTTTTGTGAGGTTTGCGTCATGACTGAAATGCCTTTACTCAGGATATCCTTTGATACTGAATAAGTGTGTCCTCTTCACAAGTTATGAGACATGCATCCTTCACTCAGACGCTGTCCGATACCTCTTCATCAAAACATTTCCAAACATAAATGTTGAATTCCATGATCACGTGTTGGTTCAGATCATAATTTATTGTGTAAAAATCAATATTTTACCATCTGCTGCAAAATACCTTCATCGCTGAATGTAAAGACAATGCATATTTATATCTAGAAGAGACTCCTATAAATAAACGGCTCAATTACACTGTCTACTGCTAAGTTACTGAAGGCCTTCATCTGTGCTTACCACCATTCAAACAGCACACTGCTTGTTTCTGTTGTGTATCAATTTTAATTTACAGAACATTGTCAAATTGCATTACATTTAGTGCAAATAATAACACTTTTGATGTACAACTTAGAAATTTACAAAGTGTGTAGATTACTGACAAAATATCAAAATTAAAAACATTACATGCATTATGTAGCTGACATCGCTTGAAGATCTAGTTCTTTTAATGCTCAGCAAAACATTTATCCAGATCCTTCCGACCCCTTAGACCTCTGAGACCCAAAAGCATCGGCTGTTATATTCTCAACCATAAAGATCTACTGATTGCAAAACTCCCAACGGTTGATGGCATCAAACGCAATCTAGAGGAAATTTAAATCTTGAGGTATGATGATGTGAAATGCTGACCCTTTCCCTTGCCCTTCATTTAAGTGTAGATAAATGCACATCTGGTGGCTGTACAGTGAAGATAACCAGGATTTTCAGGGTTCATCCTGATGTCTAAGGCATTCTGGGGCGGTAGTTTATCAGTCAAAGGGCAGGAGGCCACTGTACTGTAGTGTTGCAAGATAAATGCTATATGTTAGAGTATGATGGAGATCTTTTATAGATTATTTCTCACTGTTTTTCAAATGTTTATCTTATCCTGCACAGTAGCAGCAAGACTTTTTTTTTTTTTTTTTAAACCTGACCCTCAGTAAATGATAGACATTTTTGCCGACTCATTAGGGGCTGAAAAAGGTGAAAAAAAACAAACGCAGGTTGTACAAAATGTATCCACTCAACTCTCAATGAAAGAGAGGAATCTTCACATCAGACACTAAGGCTGGCCTTTTTCAAACATCTGTCAGAAACCATGTGACATGGAGGTAAAAGACAGATAGCTTTGTAAATAGGCCCACACTTAGCATCTATAGACTACAGTCAACAACATTGATATCCAATCACTGATTTTCAGTTTAACTGTGGCAAAAATATTGTCCAACATGACTTAGAAAATACTCTTATCTCCCTCTTCAGGGTTCCTTTACCCATTACTGTTATCATATTCAAGCATTAAACAGTCAATTCACATTTCTCACATTGGTAAACTTAGTCAATTTTCTCTGTACAATACATTGTGTCCATGGTGCTCTCCAGAAGCTACTTCAGCACAATCTAGAAATATAAAGATTTCAAAGCTTTAGGCTAAGACCCCCCCTCCCATCAAACCTGTACTGTAGCAGCAGCAACACAAGTAGCAGGAATACTAGTGATCAAAGCAAACCCAAAGGAAGTCGAGAAGTATGTAATCATAAGAAATGTACAAAACAATTTACAAAAAAAGCAAATAATTGGTAACAACTATTCAAAAAACACTTAAGAAACTCTTCAAATGTACATACAAATGTGCCCATGACCAGCAGATGGTGTTAGGCCATTCAAATGTGGCTGGGATGACAAGTACTGATTAAAGCCATTAAACCAGTCCCTCCTACAATCAGATGTCCTGTGGGACGTCCTGAATGGTATTATGTCCTGCATGTAGGAAGATTTAGCACATTCTTAATGACTGGTGAATAGGTTATAAAGTCTTAGAGAGCCATAAACAACGTAGTTTCTCCAGAGGGCAAGCTCAGCTTCCCCGAACCTGAAACAAGAAGGAAGAGTTTATTTAGCCTACTAGAAATTAAACGGAAATAAGAGATACTACTCATTGGCTCTTTGGTTCATACAGCACCAGCTAAGTGACACACCACCCATTAAAAGTGTGAGTACAGCGTACTAATCAGTTCATTCAATGATGTCTTTGAGGGCCTAGTTACCTGTTTGTGTTCAGAAGAGGATGGGCTTCCCAGCAGTTTTCTCCTGGACGTAGGAGGTGAAGCGTTTCAGGAACTTGGGGTACTCTCTCTTGGCCACGGCTCTGAGGACTGAAGCTGGAGCCCAGCCTCCAGGGTTAACTGCAACACAAAGAAAATCATCAAGAAAACTGTGTAAATACAAACTTAAGATATTAAACTTAAACCCAGAGTGCAGAACAGATTCAGCACACAGACAGCGGTCTAGGGGGCCCCCTAGTGAGACACAAATGGAATGCTTTTTTCTTTTTCTCAAGATTTCTCCATCTCTGTCCAACTGCTCTTCTTCTGCAACAATATAAGGGCTCTGGATTTCTACTGCCTGTTGAAATCTCATGTAGTCAGGGGAGGGGAGGAGGAGTTCAAGCCTGACTAGCACTTTAAAACACAAACATGCTGTCCTACCAGTAACTATGTAAACCACCAGCTGCACTTAAGACCAATTAACATAACAACATAAACACTGGCCGAGGTTGTTCTGAATTTTTCAGAGAAAGAGAAAAAAGTAGTTTCTCAGGAGCAACCTGACAATTCAAATTAAAATGATGATAGGCCAGCTAGACTTTGTTTTCTATCAGCATGATATTACATTTACAATTCTGGATCCATTAACACCAGATCAAATTAATCAACTTGTTTCATAGAAGGATCTTGAAAGAAATCTATTTCCTTGTAGATTAAGATTCAAGATTAACTTTATTGTTATTAAGAAATCTGTAACAACTCGGGGCGCTGGTTAGGGCGCGCGTCCCATGTATTGAGACTCTCGTCTCGAGCGGTAGGCCCGGGTTCGCCTCCACCCGTGGCCCCTTTCCGCATGTCATTCCCCGCTCTCTCTCCCTGGTTTCAGACTCTATCCACTGTCCTCTCTCTGCATTAAAGGCACAAAAAGCCCAAAAAGAAATCTTTAAAAAAAAAGAGAAAAAAAAAAGAAATCTGTAACAACTTGACCCGTGCTGCAGCCATAAAAAAGGACAACAATCAACATCATTCACATCACACAGAAAATATACATGTAGGCAGCAGCACGAGGCAGCCCGGGTCGCAACAGAGCAACGCCACCGGTGTCACTCCTTCGTTCCAGAGCCAGTGACTGATTAAAACTTCAGAGAGCCAAATCAAGAAGACCTGACAGTTGTATTAAGTGGTAGAGTCGCTGTGAAAAGCACTTAGAGTAGTCAGAAGACGAAATAAGTGCTAAACAAGCCCAAGTTAAAATACAGATATATGGACAGTCGTGAGAACGTTTCTGTTAGCGAGGGGGTTTTGCTCACAAACAAAGCAAAGAAATTCTGTTTTGTTTATACTTTAAACAGTATGCATTTTACTGCACAGAATGTCTCAATTATCCTGAGGAGTTCCCTTTACTTCTTTCTATACCAGTTGTGTAGACCTCGTATTTGTTTGATATTATCCACTCTGTTTCTTTTTTATTTGTACTTACCTACTTGCTATTCGTCTTTTTATTTCTGCAACTCTACCATCAATCAAGGATGATCTAATCTAATCTTTATGCAGACAAGAAACAATAGCTTGGCATTGACAGCAGGTTGGATGTTAACATTAAGGAGCCTGAAGGTATATTAGAAATAGATTGATGATGATAGAGACCCTGCTTCTGTATGCTGCTGCTCTTTCCCCATGTATGTATGCTGAGATCTTCTCAGGCTATAAAAAGGACCTTACCATTGGCAACGTAGGTGATCTTACAGAGGATGTTGTCTCTGCTGATTTCTTTGTCGCCCTCTGGTGGACTGACCAGTGTTTGGCAGATCATGGCCACATTGATTTTGGCACGAACACACCGGTTTGTAGGCTGAAAGATGAACAAAAACATGAATGCATAAATCTCCAAGCAGCAAATAATATCACTTCAGTTATTTAAATCAGAGATGGAGTTTAAGATGTCCGAAACTATTCTTTCCTCCATTAAACAGTTAATTGGGCTCTTCAATAAAAGCTTTGTTTAACCAAAAAATAATCACATTAAATTAATCTCAAATATTAAGTCCTAACTGGCAAATTTCCGTCATACAAGACCTTTCTTACTTCAATGTCAGCAAAAGCTTATTAAACGCACGCAATGATATTTTGTCACAAACAACAGCAAGCTCATTAAAACCCATGAGGTGTCACTTCATGTTGAACAGGAAACTTTCCATTACTGCAGTATGATAAGGAGGTATAACATTTTCAACTCTGACTGTTACCAAACATTTATGGATGTTTTTCTTATTTTTAAAGTTTTAAATGGGCTTGTCCCCCAATCATTACATGATTTTATCCAGAAAAATCACAACATTAGGATAAATACCAGAGCACAAAGTAGAGGAGACTGTAATGTACCGATGACTACTGAAGTTAGTCATAAGGTGGCGTCTGTCAGAGGCACACACTCATTGAACAAATTACCAGCACATAACAGGGATTGGGACAATTATTAGACATTTAAAAAGAAACTCAGACCACTCGTGTTCTCATTCATAAAATCTGTCTCCTCTTCTGATGATAGGGGGCTTCTGGTTTATCTTGCATTTTAACCAGCTTACTGTATGCATGTAACCAATGTGTTAATTTTGTTTGTAGAGTTGTTTGTGAACTTTTCTGTGTGCTGTCCTTTGTGGTGTCCTGTATTGGAAAAATGGTTTTATGTTTTTTGTAAGTACCTGCTTTAGGACTACGGATGATATTTAGATATTGTGCTAATTCGGCATATTTACATAAGACTTTCCCTTATGCTGATAAATATGCACTGTCCTAATCAATAAATAATAAAATAAGCAAAACATTAATCAAACACATGATTGTTGATCTCATAACAGTATGTGGTTGTTTGAAACATCTGGAAAATGTCACTTTATTAAACAAATTCTACATATAACAGCAGGCGGAGCAGCGGGTTTGATAAAGAGTTGTATGTCACTAGTTGCTCACTCGACATGTTGCATGATAGTAATAAGTGTGGTGTAGTAACCTTACAGCAGCATTGTCGTGGTCCACAGAGAAGTTGCAGACGAGCCATGTGTCAGGATCATTTTCATTGGTTGCAAAGAGCTTCCTGATGGCTGACAGGTAGAGAACGTCTCTCTGTGATGCGGGCCACACTCTCTGAAACACAACCAGAGATGATCAGTTGGGCAGCAAAACAGGCTGCAGAATATGTGATCAACATGCTTCAGGAATGTCTTAAAGCACCATTAAGTACACTCACCTTGTGAGTCTGATAAACTATGACCGCGTTATCGGACAGTGTTTCCACAACGTTGAAGTTTTCAATGGTGGCTGCGGGAGGGAGAGTTCAGTCGTGTTATGACATTAAAACAGAAAAATTCTAACTGTGTATTTAAGAAGCTGACTTCTTTGTGAACTCACTCTCCCAGTCCAATCGGACCGCTGTGTCCCAGAAGTAGTGGCACACCTCGTGTCCTGTCACCCCCTTCACAGCATGTGTTGCTTTGAGAGGATCCAGCACTATACCATTCTCCTCCACTTCTCTCCTGTACACCTGTTACACACAGCGCAATGGAAAGTTAGATATGCACTACAGGGCATGCACTGAAGGATTGTCTTAATTCTACCACAAAGCATCACTAAAGCTGCTTTTGGTAAGAGAAAATGAAGAGGGCTATTATTGTTTATAAAGGAATAATTTTGAATTCTTCAACCTCCTGGTGAAATTATTTGTCCTGCGTCTTGCTCTGTTCCTTTTTTTAAACGTGTATGAGAATTGAATATTCACAGCCAGCGATCAAGGGGAATGATTCACAAGCTGCTTCTCTCCTCTCCTGTGCTTACCTTCATCTCTCCTTCTTCTATTACAAGCTGCCAGTTGGCATCTCCGCCCATATCCTGAAGAGAGTAAGTCATATGATTCTGCACCATCTCCTCCACCTAAAACACAAGACAGATATTTATTACATTCTCTTGTTGGAGAGTCTTTTACTTCTCCGACCAACCTATTTGAGGACAAGCTTTAAAACAGGAGGAGAGAGAGTTCATTGTATCCGGTTGAATGATTTATAGACTTAGGCAATCCACACACCTGGCACCTGTGCTTGTACTTAATGAAAAAAAACTATGGCCCTTAGGAATTCCCTCAGGAAATAACAAAAGCTTCTGTGAAGTTACCATATAAATATTAAACACTTCTGCTTGGGGGTTGTTACTTAACATCCAAAGAATGCATTAAGAACACATGCAGAGTCAGTCTGGATGCATGCCTGCTCATGCTGTGGAGAATTGATGATAAGACAGGAAATGAAGTTTTTCTATATTGGAGTAAATCATTACACAAACTTATTTTTGGGGGTCAGTGTTATAATGCAAGCGCTACATAATGCAGACAACCTGTCAGTCATTCCAGGATTTTCCATTTTGTCCTGTCAGGATTTGTTTTGTCTTGATGCAGAGACTAAAGCATGCAGCTAAATGGACAGGAAATATTAGTGAAATCCTGGAGAGACTGGTTAGTAGATAATCTCATGCTTTCTGCTCATGCTCTGTCCTGCTGCAGTGGGAAGCAGTAGGCGGTTGCATACCCGAGGAGAAACAGGTGCAAACTGTGGACCAAATACAGTACCTGTGTGCTGAACCTGTGAATGTCATCCGAGGCACTGACTAGCTCAACGGATGATATTGAAGAAGAATGGCTTTGGGGCTGTACAGCAGAAAGGAAGATTACAAAGAAAGGAATAAGCAACAAAACATTAAGAGGGTCGACAGCAGAAGTCCACAGGGGACTATCAGGTCCTACTGAAGATGAAGATGTTATGTAAGCTTTTAAATTACTGATGTAAGAAGCAGTAGCTGATTCTCTGTGTGATCAGAGTGAGAGAAAGCGTGGACACAAAACAGAAGACAGCAAAAGCCTTATAGAAAGACCAGACAGGTCGTAAGCTGACTAGAATGCAGACAGGAAAAATGACACACTGAAAATAGCAGCGTTCAATAATCCTATATTAGAACAGAGGTGATGAACTTCAATGTGCATTAAAGAGAAAATAAGAAATGAGTTGAGCACCTTGGTGGCATATCTGTGTGTGCCGATCGTGGAGTAGGCGTCTCCCGGAGGCACTGGAGTCAGACGAGGTTTCCTCACCTTGTCTGACTGGCACTGAGGGACAGAGTAGGAGTATCAGAGAAAGTCAGCATCCGTGAGGAACGGATTTAACTGCTGTTCAGTTCATTTTGCTTTTCCATGTTCCTTCTAGAGGTATTTAATACGTCCCAAAGGGAAATGGAAATTTTGATTGTGCACAAGAGCGCAGCCTCATATCTGCATCACACCTGCTCTTCTATCTTGTCCTGTCTGTCCAGTGCAGCTTCCACCGCATCAAAGAACTCGTCCTCATTGATCAGACTGTTTGGCCCCTCCTGAGGAAAGATAAAGTTGTCATCAATATAAGCATTCTTTGCAGCACTGAGAAAGGTGCAGAATTTATTTAAAAATCAAATGTTGATATGGGACATAGCAGGAACAAGTCAAGACATCATTTCATGTATCATCAGCTGTTTGGAATTAGTCATCTAACCTCGTAGTCAGGACCTCCGTAGTGTGACTTCTTCTTCAGTTCATTCATTGCAGACTTGTAGGCATCTTCTACCCTCCTCCTCTTCTCTAACTCCTGAACAGAGAGACAAAAGTGTAGTGCTGAGCATCTCGGACACATCGTAAAAACAAGTTTCCGAGTTGTAAAATGCACATGAACGCCTGCTCAAGTCGGAACAACAAGTCGGAAAATAATTAGGTGCCGACTTCCCGACTTGACTTCAGAATCGTCATCAAATGGGGGACAAAATATGTTTTGTCAATGTTAACATACTTTTTATTAATTCAAGTATTGAACATCAACTTTTTGCTAAAGTATCACTCTTAACAGCTACATTTCACTGATCTTCTTCGCAGTATCAACGCTTTTTTGTGCCATCGTTACAACATTCCGACTTTCCGAACTGAAATCACGTGAACACAATGAAGACCGATTTCCCAACTCGGAAACTTGGACCACCGGAGCAGCACATGAATGCAGCAAAAGACAGCATTTCAGTTGGAAAACCTATTGAAATATCTGTGCTGCACTTAAAGGAGGTCTGATCTATATTTAGACAACAAACAAAGGAATTCAGCGTTAGAGTCACCAAGCATCTTTATGTGAGTGACAATACTCCTCAAATCACATTACAGATAACAGAGATCCAAATAAAGGAGATGAAGAGGTCAAACAATTGATGAAAACTCTGCCCTTTATTCAGCTGTCAGTGCGTGAACACTCAAACAGGTTTTACATCATCTCTCATTCTCTACCAGAGGGAACTTCACACAAACCAAAATCAACAGACTTCTCCTACTGCTTAAACAATATTTTCTAAAACACACAGAAACTTTGAAAGCCGCCTAAAGTATAAAGTCTGCTTGAAAGCCACCTTAAGTATAAAGTCTGCTTAAAACAGCGACTGAGTCAAAGCCCTATTAAATGTATTGTGTACACTGAAACCACTTAACTATGCAGCAAAAAGGTTCATGATTCAGACATTCTCTATCCATACAGCAATAGACATCAAGCAAACAGAGGCAATTCAAGGTGACAGTATACAACAATATTGACTAAAACAGTCGCTCTTAAATGTTTAAAAGGGGGAAAGAAACCAGACGGAGACAATCAAACCATACTACCGGTAAGTCTACAGACAAGGTGTGAACATGTAACATTAGGTAAAAAATAAACAGGAGGTGATCCTGTTGACGGCTGTGTTTAAGCAACCCACAGGAAGGAACCTACTGTGAAGAAGAGACTGCAGGTCTGCAGAGGGATCCATTTCTGTTTCTGGTATTTGAGCAGCTCTGTCCCCTTTTGTAGCGAAGGCCTCAACAAATTGCACCATGAAGTCCTAGAAGTCATTTTTCAAATCCTCCTCTTCACTCTCAGTCTCAGCAGAAGAGTTTTTTTTTCCTTTGAGCATGTGTTCTGTTGCCTTAAATATTTCTATTTCCCTACTCCACATTGACATCTAAAGTTCACACACACACACATAACTAAGATAAGATAAAGGTAGTTTCACTCGAGCGCTCTAACAAACTGAAAACACTTCCCGGCTTTAGTTGGTTTTTAGGGTTGGGCCTTTACAAAAGGAAAAAAGAAACTGGTTTGACAACATCAGCTGAGCTGATCAGCAAGGAAGCACAAGGAGCTGTGAAGAGAATACCTTTACAGACACACAAAGCTCTCTAGATAAAGCTAAATCAGTGGTTGAAAGGGCTGTGAGGAACTCAACCACTCATAACCACTGAAAACAAAAGGGGAGAGGCAACAGGTGCAATTGTGCTTCTGGTAAGCAAGCTGGACTAAGAAAGTTTCAAGATATCTTGACTGTTGTAAATGATGGATAATAGAAAAGTTTCTTCCCAGTTTTATAGCAGACTAACTCCATTTTGGGTTTTTAACAATATCTTGATTATGGTTAAAATCACCTTCAAATAATGCACCTCAATGTTTCTAACTCAAATTATAGAATTTAACAGTTCAAATAAATATAAAAAGGCAGATCTTTGGAATTGAAATAAAGATAAAAAATATCTTGAAAGATAATAATTATAAGATGCTAAAAAAAGGAAATCAAGGCCCATCTAACCTGTTCATTCATAGTTTTTTTTTTTTTTAACACACAACTGGTGGGTTTTACATGAACAACAATTTCAATGGCACCACCATTAGATAAATATTTATTCTTCAAAAAACTACCACTGCACATTTTGTGTTATACCATTACCGAGCTGTCAGTGTCACCATTAATAGCTGTCTGTTTCAACATATCACAGTCTGGGTTCAACCTTTTGGCAGCAGTGTTGCAACAAAACCTCGTCATCTGAAGGCAACAATTAGCTCCTCAGCCTGTGGCAATCCATTCAGCAGGAGCTGCTGACACGCCCACTCATGAAACTGGTTCATATTGAAATGACACTTTGTACACAGACGTCACATACATTCATTGGAATCAGTATATGAGGAGAGCGAAGGCCGTACCTTATCCACTCTCTTTTGCCAGCTGTCCTCTCGTTTGACCATCAGCTCGATGCAGTGAGACAGGGTAGAGAGGATCCCTGCTGTGGTGGCCTTGAAGGTGATGGCCTCACCCTTGAAGTCTATCCCGTTCATGCCTTTGGGACTCGTGGGAGGAAACACTGGCACAGACAGAAATTAAGAAAGTACTGAGTGTGACAGCTGCCCAACGACTGGATTCAAAATTGACATTCCAGCCTTTAACTTGAATGGTGAATCAGATATTACCGCACACAGACATGTTAGAATCGGCTCTGAATGGTGGGTCAGGATCTTGAGTCTAACTCACATTTCTCTTTGCTGCCGTTGTTGTTGTGATTATATTCACCGTCAGGTCTTGTAGTGTTGGGGAAGTCATCTTCGTCCTCTTCCACTTCTGTGAAGAAAACAACATTCTTAGATTTCTCGATTTTCTATCCGTCCAGTGAGAGAATATCTTAGCATAGATACCTAAACATGGACATATATAAAATTGAGCTTAACCACGTAGAAACCTGTTTGATGGGAATAGCAAGCGTTTACATGATTAGAGTTACTTGAGCCAGCTACTAACTTTTCTTTCCTGGTTATCTGTTGACAAAATGGTCCAATAATACATTTTTGAATCACACAAAGGTCCTTAAACTACAAGCTCTATTAAGAGAACATGTTTAAAATAAACAGGATTTTTTAAGACATGGTTCTTGCTCAGATGTTAAACATCCCACAAACAGCCCAGTAAGTGGATAAAGATTGATGCTTCCTTTCTCAATTAGTCTACCAACCACTCTCCTTCACCACTCACATCGAATGAACCAAGTTAAAAGCCCCACATTAATTAATCACGTCCTTTCCCAGAAAACATCAGGGTCTATTTGTGATGCCACATCCACAGTGCTCTATAGATCAGATCTGTTTTTCCTACTATATAAAGCACTAGAAAAGTGAATTTATGCCAAAGATTACCTGTGTCTCTCTGAAATTCATCCTTGGAGACAGCATCAGCACAGAGTCAAAGTACTTCTGCAGGGTGTCTACCTGTCTGCACAGAATGTCCCGGAAGGTTTCCATCTCTGCTAGCTTTTCACGCAACCTGTGCCCCTTCTGAGCAGAGAGAAAATTATGGGTAGAGAGATGCTTGGCTGTCAGGGGAAATATTCATGTCAAGTGTTTTGTATCAACCAGGAGCCACAGTCATGGTGAGAATAAAGTACCCTGTAACCCTGTGGTGTTCATGTGTTGTGCTTTTACCTTGAATGAAGATGTGGATGTTGCAGACAAAGCACTGGCTGCAGAGGTGAGAGACAACATGGAACCATGACGCCTGAGACTGGTTTCTGAACCGTAGCCAGACTCGGCCTGACATATCAAGAGGGAGGGATCAAAGGAAAAAGAGAAAGTAAGTTATAGGTGATGAAGAGAGCCAAAAAATATGAGGAGGGAAAACAATCAGTGGGTGCATGGAACAAAAAAAATCTCAAATTAAAAAAGGACAGACTGAAGCTCATAAGAAATAGCAGTCAGCTGCACTGAGTAATGCTGAGCTCAACCACAACAGGACCTACACCTACATAGACAAACAGTCTTTTGTAAGGGACGAGGGATGACAAACAGAACCCGGCATAAAACCCTCCAGCAAAACTGGAACTCCTTGGTTGTGTAACAGTGTAGAAATAACATTTGATTCCGAAGAGAAAATACAGAAGACAAAAACACTGTAAAGACGTATTGGAGTATGAAGTGCACAACATGGCTTGTATAAGATCCAGTGTGTAACCGGGCATTAGGGAGGGGTAGTGACTGCATTTGTTCCATCAAACATATGTGTGGGTGAAGCCTGGGACTGCCAACTCAGCACAGCAAGAATATTTGATTATAAAGTGCACATTAAAATTTGCATGCACAGCTAGCACCACAGTTCAGCAATCTTTTTTTGAAACACACACACAACGTGACAAACCACATTATATTCACACAAGGGCTGGGAAATTAATCAAATTTCAATTTCAATGATGATTTTGGCTTCCCAAAGATTACTGTGCCGCATTAGCGCGCCACTATCAAGAGTACATCAGCACTACCTCAAATACATAGTTCATTCATTTCTGTTAACTTGTCATTTTTGTATATTTATCTTTTTTTCACTTAGGTATGACTTATTCATTTCTTGTTTTTCACAATTGTTCTGAATGTTATAATGTTAGTTATCCAGATGTTGTCAAATCAATGAGTAATCATGCTTCATAATTGTGATCACGATATGATTTTTGCTGACTGGAGCAGCCCTATATCAGACACTGTATTCTAGGGCGGGGTGGTGGCCTGGGACCTCAGGAGTCGATACGTATTGTGATACTTTGCAGTAGTACATTATTTACTAAACTTTTAAAGTGGAGCTGGGAAGTAAACTTGCTGTGTTTGGTTTTCTTTCTTCTGTTGACATGTTTTATCAGTCTTCACTGAGTAGCTGAGGTACACTCTAGCCTAGGAGTATGGTTTTTATTTTCATGTTTAGTCTTTCTACTAACAGTTTCTAAATTTCTAACTCACAAATAGAGCTACGCAAGACCAGGGAGCAGTCAAGTGAAGAGGCAGTCAGGTGATTCACTCAAGAGGGAGCACACATGCATACCTCTATTAGAGCGGACTATGAGTGCCTGTGAACAGCTGATTCATAATCTGTTCCAGCAGAGCGGGCCAACACCAAACACAGTCTGTTTGCTTTTAAAGGGTGCAGTATTTTTTTTAAATCCATACAACTTCATAATTTCTGAGATGCTAATATATACGTGATACCTTCAGGAAGTGTCTAAAATATGAGTCTAAAATATTTTCTCTCAATCATGCAGATTTACATGCAGTAGATTCAGTAGTCCACAAATTAGGATTGCATGGCTAATGTGAGAATTATAATCAAAAAGTCAAAACATTCTAATATTTATATGAAACACATCGAGGGTGTGGACAAAATACCACGACCAACACAAAACTAAATTAAGTAACAAAAACTAGCTATAAAAAAAGGCCTAAAGCCAACTAAATTCATTGAGCAATAGTTCATGGTCCGTTTTTTTAAAAATCAGGCTGGACTGTAACTCGCTGGTCGAGCTGCTGCAATGCAGATATTTTTCAAAAATAGAAAACATTCCACAAACAGTGGAGCGGCTGGAAATAAAGAGCTGTGTGCACGGTTAGTTATTTTGAATTTCAAATTGATTATTGAGACTTTGACGGGAGGTTGTCAAAGTGCTTTGGCTTCAGTGTGTCAGAGGATGAGTCTACACACATTCATATTTTGATACCTATAATGAATACGGATTTGCTATATTACCTGCTCAACTCAACTCAGCTTTATTTATATAGCACCTTTCATTCATCAGAAAAGAACAGTATTGAAGAGAAAGAGATTAAAACAATAAGGGAACGTAATCAATTTTTGAAAAGGAGAAAAATTGATTTAAAATGATAGAAATGAAAAGTAAAAATTTATAATAAAATAAAATCAATGAATTATGTGTTAATAACACATGCTCTATTACTACACTACACAACAGTGTGATTTAAACTACATAACCTCAGGTGTTCATATATCTTGATTTACTGCCTACAACATGTCGAGTCCTTGAACAAACACACTAAATGTGTTAATGTTTACTTCATGTTGATCTTTTGGCACCGCCTACTCTTCAAACAGCTCGGTACAACAGTTTTTTAATTGCCATGACTACATAGACATTTGACAAATAGTGACTAAAAACTGTAATTGGAACACAATCAAATGTTTGCATTTGCTCTGCTTTGTTTCTTCCAACAGCTTTCAGGCGGAGGCAGAGAGGCAAAGCAGAGCGCTGATGGAACATGAAGGCCAGTTTGTGACAACAACAGAGAGACTGGCATCTTAATGCAACTAGCCAACTCAGTCATACAAACATGCCAAATAAGCATCCAATTATACACAACACATCAAAGGGTAACTTCTGTCCCAGCTTTGTGATGGTAATGAGAGTTTAGAGTAAGCATACACTTAGTACTTTAACACAGCTTAATTATGACCGCTTGAAAAACACATTCATGAAATGTTTCTTTTAAAAAAATAAAAAAATAAGTCCAGCACACAGCCATGCATTACAAGCATCATTTCTAACAAAAATGTGTATTTATTGCATATTCATTATTTATATTTTCTTTACGATTTACTGACATGCAATGAAGTTCAACACTAAGCCAGCCCATCAGAAGACGACACACTGAACGAAGCAAATAAAAAATAATTCTGTATAGAAATGAGAGCAAAGATGGTTTCTCTCTCTAATGGGTCATACCACAATGATGACATGCAACTGAAAGTGACAGCAAGCAGCAGCATGGCAACATGCTATAAGCCCACCATTTGGCCATTCCAACACCCAAGGCAGAGCAGGACACTGCTGCAGTCCCAGCAGTTAGCTGGCCCCAACATGGACCTCCAAACACTCCCGCTGCTCTGACAACTGTGAGGCTTAAATTCAGTAGACCGTTTCCCAGACACACCTCACTGAGGAACAAAAGGGAAGAGGAAGAGGTGGGGAAGAAAAGCCATACAGGCTCTGCTTAACGCATCAAGTGAAAGAAAGCAGCAAGGAGCGAGGAGGAGGAATAGCAAAAAGTAATTTTCTCTCTTGCAGCCGAAGGAGAGACGAACACCAGCTGTTCACATGAAGCTGAAGAAACAGACGGAGCGAAAAGGATGAGTCCTGTCTTTCCTCTGCAGAGCGAAGCAGGTCTACTCCCATTCAGATCAACCGCAGAAACACACATGAATTCAAAACACACACACACACACATACACACACACACACACACACACACATACACAAACACACACAGACACACAGACAGACTCTCTTGCTTCCTACAAATATCAACAGAGCACACACCCTGATATGTGAAACCTTTTCATCTTGTCCATTTTTCTTTCCAACATCCATCACTGAGCGAGCTGTGACTGTTTGATTGTTAGAGCAAGAGAGGTGTATAAATGGGTGCATGCATGTATAAATTACAGAGCCAGAGTCCAGAGCTGTCTGGAGCTGTTTGTGTGATACAACACTAAAAGTGGGCGAGAGAAGCAGCCCACTGTATGTTATGACAGAGAGAGAGAGAGAGAGAGAGAGAGAGAAAAAAATGTGAGTGACAAAGAGGCAGAGAGACAGAGAAAAAGAGAGGGGACAACTTTCCTTCTGCTTTACCTCTAACTCCATCTCCCTTTTTGTCCTTCTCATTCTGATTTACTGATATCCCATTATGAAACTATATCTAGGTCAAGAGTGTTTGGACCAACAATCCTGAAGATGTGGCTGAGACACTGAGTAAAGGGTGGCTGAGACACTGAGTAAAGGGGGGGGGGGGGGTCCTTTTTCTTTCCCACATTACCCCTGTGAATCTGACAGAATGGAACAGTCCTCTCAGTATGAAGTTTTATGTGTCCCTCTTGATTTTTTGTAGCTGTGTGAACGCTCAAATAAATAAAAAAATGCATTATTTATCAAGAGCTGCACTTAACGTCCCCACAGTGAGCACGACTTTTTCCACCACCAACACAAACACACCCACACATAAAAACACAAATGGCCTTGCACATAAATGGTTCCAAATCTTCAGCAAAATAAGAGACTGTTAGTACGGATATGTAAATGGTGAGCGGATTATTAGAGGCATTTAAAGGTGTAACTATTTTTCATTAGACCTCTATTAAAGCACATTCATAGTTGTTAAAGTTATGTAGTAACACTACAGTCATTTTGAAAACAGTATGAGTGAATCTAGCTGTAACAGAATGTGTAACACCTTCTAAAGTCGTTTAAAATGTTAAACTGTAAACTATTTGTGAGTGAAGTAAGTCTTCAGTAAGATTAATAAGTGTTAATAAGAGGCTAGTGAAGGTTTTAATATTCATTTAAGCACAGTTCAAACACCTACTTTAGCCTGCTACAAACACATTATTTAGACAGAAGATAACATAGATAAGATAAACCTTTATTTAACCCACAACGGAGATCTTTAAAACATAGACAGTTTGTTTTTTTAAGCTGAATTTGACATTACTATATCTTCTTATTTATAAGCAAACAGCAATATAGAGCTTGGTCGTAAGCTAACATAAATATTATGTTTAAAGGCTGTGATTTTACAGTATTGTCCTTGTCCACTGTATCTTATCAGGATGCACACAGCCACGTCGCACTTTGTAGTTCATAAATACCACACATGTATCAAAGCTGTCCAGGAGGAAAAGGGTGATTCAGGATACGATTCTAAGTTTTACTTGAGTTTTTACCCATGCTCTATCCATAACCCCTTTAGCTTTTTTCTTCACTCCATTTCTTGTTTTTTTTGCTGTATGTGTGTGTAGTATTCGTGAAGTTAAATCTACTGATATTTTAAAACTGGTTAATGTTCTATTCGCCAAAAAACTTAAGTCTTGAAAAATGTAAACTAAATCAATTTGTCAGGATCAGAGAAAGTAACAGCAGTTTTCAGAAAAATGAATAACTATGAAACAGTTTATTCAATGATGATTATATGTACTGACAAATATTGGATTTAGACCATTTCATAACTAGTTAAAGAGTACTCATCAAAGGTTTGATAACTAAGAACCAATGGGGATTAAATTATGAGAATAAATGCGTATGGACACTTTACTTTCAACAAAGGGAATAGAAAGAAAAAAATCAGAATTATTGTTGTTTTTTTAAAAGTATGCAGGAAAGTGAGACTATCCTAGGATAGTTGTCAGTAGTCAGTACATCTTAACACAAAGAACAAAGCAGAGAAATTGTGTTTAACATTGCATGTTGCAGGTTGTTATTTGTCCACTTGGGGGCAGCACAGAGGCACACTAAAGCAATGCTGCAGGTAGTTCTGCACTAAGCTGACTTGAGGTTACTGTAGGTCACAGTCCAGACATTGCCCTGAAAACTCTCATGCTGTTGTTAATGGACTAGAGACCTGCAGTCACTCTCACTCAATTAACATGCCAGCACCCAGTAGCTAGAACAAAACCACCTTTTAGTAGAGAAGTAAGCCTATTGAGAATCGACAGGATAGTGACATTTTTCAAGGCCGGTATATTTAGGGTGGTCTCAGAGTTTTTAACACTGAATAAACAACCAAGAAAACAGCATTAATAAATGAATGAATACAGGTTTTTTCAGATCACTTGTGTAGTATATCGTTTGCAATATATTTGGTTCCTACTCCCATACAGATATTTTGCCATTTCATAAAGAATCAGTAAATGTAATACCATAAAAACAGATTGTCATCATAAAAGAGAATACATTGTAGGTAGAGTATTTTGTTTTCTCTGAGAGAAAATGCAAAAAAAACAGGGTTTACTCTTGTATAGTTTAGGGATAACCAAACACAAAGTGAACTACAAATTCAATGAATGAACTACATAAAGTCTTTTACACACTTTATGTTGAGAAACAAAGAGTTTTTTTTACAAGATGGCAGCTGCCTGGTATCTGATGACAGGGGATACCCCAACATCAACACTTCACTCCTCGGATTCCTCACATTCCCAGGGGGGAGGTCTGTGTGTATGCTGTGTTGTGAGTGTTTGAATCCCAGCCACACCCAGCTCCCTGAACTAATCAGATAAATCCCGGTCTGTTCAGGAGAAAAACATTCTGACCTTAAATTGAACCTAAATACCTTAAATACTCGAGCACACCAATGTTTTCAGTAAAAAATAAGGAAAGTTAAAAAAAAAGATCAATTATTTATCGTGACCTAAGGAATTCACACAATATAAGATGTTCATATTCTTGACATACACCAAGAAAATCCAAAAATGTGAGCTCAACAGGGACTACATTTTCACTATTCCTGTCTGTCTTTATGTGCTGCCACTGACGAGAGCTGCTAAACTCTTTGTCATTGTTTTTATAGCAATGACAATAAAGATCACTTCTATTCCGTCGATTCAGGGACACTGAGAATTTATAACATTAACTTATTGATTATCAAGGTAACACAGATGACCTGCTTTCAGCTAGGCAAAATTCCCATGAATAACTTAATCATAAGACAACATGTATGACAAACAAACGAGGGTGTAAAGTGAAGAGCGAGAGAAATGTAATTGAAAGAAGAAAAGAGGAGAAAAACACATTTAACTCACCTTGTGCAGCTCTATTGACTCAATCCACTGAAGTCTGTGCTCGGGATCTTCAGCTCTCAGGTACCAAACGCTGTCGTTCACACTGATGTCAAAACGACACTCGTCAAACTCGTGAGGCTGCAGAGAAAGAGGAGAGGGCTCATGGTCATTGGGCGAGGTGTGTGAGTCATGTGACGACATAGTGCCACATCTGTTTTTGAAAACGTAATAATGTTAATATAAAATCAATAATGCCATTTTCATTACTGTGATTAAATTAGAATGCAAAAATTTAACTATACTGCTTCTACAGTTGTCTCCCTGTTTATGACAATTGCTGACTAGATATGCCATATTGTGGTCACACATGGATTCCATCATCCACAGAAAAGCGTCTGCCTCCCAATAAACAGGCATTTTAATTAGAAACTGATGTCCTGTGTCTGTAGGCGCAACCTTAAACGACCGCAGCAGACAGAGATGTACAAAAACACTGATTCTTTTAGCATGCCTTTGCCTGAACCTTCATCATAACCTTTCCTTCTGGTATTGGGCCAAATCATTCAACTATTTCACTCCCTCGTTCTACAATGCACCCCTCCCAACTCCAACCACTGACTGCCTTAGGCACCCAAACACGTGCACCTAGAATTCCCTGTTTCCTCTGAGATTGGAATTTGACCACTGCACTCAGCTGAAGAGGGATCTGCTCTGCAAAGGTTCCTGAGAAGACCTAAGGCACAGTTTACTTGAAGCTTCTTCCCGTTTTTCTCCTCAGCTGCAACAGGACTGAAGCTCCTCTGTCAGCTGACATAACCTCATGTCGCAAAAGTTTAATTAGATCTGCTGAATGGCGCTCATGTGCTGGTTTCTTTGCTGCCAATGACAACCGCAACAAACACTCTGATGCTCAACTGTCAGCCCGGTTAACAAGCCTTTAAACTTTAAATATTGGGATAATATTGCAAAGTTTGCATACCTGTGATGCAGGCAGGTTGAGAATTTTCACTTACTCTTAAATGCTTCCCTTTACAATGACAGAAAATGTTTCACCTCAAATTTTAACATCAAAAATGCCCTCCAGTATCCCTTTAAAGGAGGGGTGTGCAGCAATGGTAACCTGAAATGCATCCAGGCATGTTGCCATTACTGGTTAGAGAAATCCAGTTTATCTTACTCTGCTGTATCAGACATGGCCCATAAACTTCTGCTTTACAATCCAGTTTAAAACTCTTTCATTTGAGCACGGACAATCTCATTCCCCTTGCGTAAGCATTACTGAAGATCCAGGGTGCACTGGCTTTTTCTGAGTAAAAGATTGTGGCATCTTAACTGTTAAGAAAGGAGGTTATCAAACACTGACAGTAATAGTTCCCAGAAGACTTAGAAGATTTCTCCTTTCTTATAAGATTAGAATATGTTTCTCTTTGTAATGAGGGGTAACTATATTCATAAATAAACTAGTGGTCATTCATACAAGTTTATTCTGAACAAACACAGAAATGAAAGGATTAAACCAATGAACTGATGTGAGCTTTTCATTACTGTCCTTGCCCTATGCGAGGAATTTTCAGAAAGTTACATTTACTGCAGATTTTGCTTCAGGAAGAAAACAGTCTGGTGCGCATCAGCAGACACACAGTGTATAACAGATTGATGTTAGGCAAGAAGAGAAGCAGAGGCTTGTGTCTGCATTCCTGGGCCCTCATACCTCTGGCTTCAGATATTTTAGGGAGAGGGGAGAGGCATTAAGATGAGGCTCATGGGTCATGCTACTGTAATTATTACAGAACCTGTGTAGTTAATAGTACACCCTTAGTTAGTGTACTATTAAACAATTAGGAAACACTAAAAGGTCTCCATTCAGGTTAGCACAAACACAGGAACGCTGACAAAATGCTCTCTCAAATGAACACCCTCACGGGAGGAAACTAACTGTAATCTCTCATGATGTGGTTTTAATCTGGTTTTGAATCTGAATAATCCTATTGCACAAATCACAGCAAACCCCATTTGTTTGGCCTCAGTACTTGGTGGCAGTATGCTCAGAGTGAATATATAACTAGGGTGTGGGATTTCAACTGCTCTGCACAGGGAGAATACAGGTTAGAGCTCTACAGTATGTGTTGAATTTCAATCCTAAAACGAAGATAAAAAACCAGTTTAAGTAGCCTGTGTCCTCCACGGAGGACAGGTATGAAAGTATTCTCAAATGACTACTGACTACAAGAATGTCTTTATCTGCTGAAGTAGAGGTCACTCAGTGATCTTAATAAACTCATTACCAGTTAATGTTTACCTTTCTATTTTGAGGAACATGTACTGAAGACATAAAGTGCAACTCTGTGCTATTGACTGGGAAAGAGGGAATCAAAACATTGAGACCTACAAGAGAGAGCGAGAGAGAGAGAGAGAGAGAGAGAGAGAGAGAGAGAGAGCCCTATTCCAGGTGCACTGATGCAGAAAATGAGCCCTGGCATGGTTGCCATTTTTTTTTTGTAAACTTTGCGGTTTCAAATACTACACAGGTGATAAGCTCGCAATGTTTTTAACACACCAAATAACCAGCAGCAGAGTGATGTTAGCTCCTCATAACAAGGAATACTTACTGTGATGACAGCCTTGCTGAGGCACAGGGACCCCCTGCAGCCGTACTCCCTCTCATCTTCTGACTTGTAGTAGCTCAAAGTGTTGTTTTTCAACACGACCCATCTGTCCTGCCATCCGTGTATGTAATTTGTCCACTGTACACACACAAAAGGTAGACTTTGAAGACAACCGCGAATTAGCACTATGCAATCAAAAGTCATCTGGATGCAGGATTTCAGCTTTTGCAGCTCACTGGTAAAGTTTTGTTTTACATGTGAGATTATTAGTGTGTTATTAGGGCACATAAGGATGTTGTCTCTACAGTAGAACACAATGTAACATCACAATTGGTTCACCTATCATTTTATATTTCTGCAATAATTTTAAATTTCATACTGTGCAATATTTATTTTATATTTCTGCAATATCTTACATTTCATACTGTGCAATATTTATCTTATTTTGATATTTCTGCAATATTTTACATTTCATACTGTGCAATATTTATTTGATATTTCTGCAATATCTATTTATATTCTGTTATGCTACCACCTGAAAATAACTCCTACCATCCTACCTGAATTTTTTATTTTTTTTATTTTCTTCTTTTGCTGTCTTTAGCTGTGGATGCTTGTATGTGTGTGCACTTTAAAGGTGAAGCCAAATAATTTCGTTGTACAATTGTATAATGACAACAAAGACATTATATTCTATTACCTTGCTTAAAATGCCTCCGAGCTCCACAGGCTGTCCGGATTCAGGGTCCACATCCTCATCCGAACCAGACGATGAACTTTTCTCAGACATTTAAATTGAATGTTTAAAGAAACCCTGACACTTAAGGTATCAAGAGAAGCACGTAGACTAGTTCAAACACTCCCGATCCGAGCCTGCAGACAGCTTATTTAACTTCGCGTGTATGTCGGCGAAATGTGATTAACTAGCCACTAAGTGAGCGCATGTTTGTCGATGTTTATCTTGAAACATTTATTCTATCGAGGTTATCTTGCAGCAAGCTGTTCCTGAGATGACAGCTGAGTCTGAACTTCTCTGTTTTTGCGGGCTTTGTTTTGAAACTGACGTCGAATACCAATGAGACTAGCTAGTTAGTGTTAGCTGTCAAACGACGCAACTAGCTATCAACAAAACTTGAGACTATTATTGTTGGTTGTCTAAGCTGCATTCGTTGAGCTAATAGTTATCGACGAGAAAGGCCTTAGTCTTTACGCTGCACCTCAACTTCGAGCTACAAATGCCAAGCAGCGGACTGTTTCCCTCCTTAGGTTCCGCAGTTTAGTTAGCCGTAGCGGAGGACTGACTAGCTCGTCTTCATTCAGGTCGAGGGGGAGGAGCTACAGCCACGCTTTACTTCAGGTCGAGGGGGAGGAGCTACAGCCACGCTTTACTGTGACGCGTCAAGCTAAAGACTGGATCACTGTTATCACTGCAACAGCGGAAGTTGTACATTAGAATAAAAGCATCGTGAGTAACAGGGTAACTACTGGATTACTTTTTATTGAGGTGTGACTTCTTTAAATATGGATATATATCGATATTTAAAGTCTCCACGTATCTATACACGAGTTTAAAGCGTGTGCGATTAAAAATACCAGAAATAAAAGTATGTAGATGTTCGCTACCTTACCATAACATTGCAATCAAGAAAGCGTAGATGTGCTTGTCTTGGAGAATATGTAAAGGATAAAAATGCATTATGGTGTTTTTTTTTGGGGTGGAATAACATTTTCATCTAATATGGTTGTAAGAGAATTCATCCCTCTGAAATCCTGTAATTGTGCTGCTGCCTGTCTTGGCCTGGACGCTCTTGTAAAAAGAGATTTTTAATCTCAATGAGACTTTTCCTGGTTTTAATAAAGGTTAAATAAATAAATAAATAAATAAAAAATCAGCGGGTCTGGTTTAATTCTTTGAGATTTCTGCAGTATTTCCGAATGTGTAGTTTCTGTACAAAAAGTAACTTGACTCATATCAAACTATGCCAAAGGTCAAGTTTGTGCTTAGAAGTCATCTGTGGACCATTTTTTACATTATGTGTACTTTACTCCGATGATAACAACAAAGTCTAGGTTCATGAGGTTGACTCATAGACTGTAAAAATAACTTGACTTGACTTCGTATCAGAAAGAAAACCTTGAAGGAAGTCATGAAGTGGAGAAGGAAATATCTAAGTTTCGACGCTCAGTTATAATAATATTCAAATACACTATCTTCTTCAGAAATCACAGCACAACAATGACAAAAAATATTGAATACGTCTTTATAAATACGCTGGGCCCATTGACTATGGGGCTGGGCAGCTGTAAAATAAAAAAGAGTGAGTCATATAATGATAACATTAAAATATCGTCATCAGCTTTGCTTTCAAGTGTGCTTCAAGTTTTGTGGGTCTTTGCCATAGACTGTAAATATTAGGTCTTTGCACGTTTTTAAGAGATTTCATGGGCAGGTTAACATGTGAAAAGATAACATTGTTTGAATTACGTTCAGAATTTAAAACTGATGTCGTAAAGCTCTTCTTACCTTTCCAGAAATGCAGTGCTGCGTTTGTCAAACTTATATATTTATTTATGATATTTATTAATTTATATTTATTTTTACAGTCTATGATTTAAAGTTGTAAACAATGCCCGTCACGCCTTTTCCGGTGATGACGCGTGAACGCGGAAGTGCCGCCTAAACTATCGTCGTCGCTGTTTTCAAAACATGTCCAAACATACAGGCAAACTGTTTGGTAAACCGAGTGATTTACATTAATTTGAGTCTTTCCTGTTCAGGGGAAAAGGTAAGTTGCTGAACTGCTGTTTATTATCGGAACTAGAAAAGAACAGAATAATAAGTTACCCTTTTCTGTGTTTATTTTCTTATTTATGTGATGCCGTCTTAATCTTTTTTTTATACATTCTTTAATCTTCTCATTCTGATAATATTTTACAGCTTTTTATTCTTCTATACACTTCTACAGTTGCAGTACTTATCAGCCCTTTCAGACCTATAGTTTATATTTTAATCCCTCATTTGCATTTATTCTTGTTGATCTTCCGCTGTTGCTTTTTGTTTTTGCCCTTTTGTTTGAATTCTCTGGACTAATCTATCTGTGGCCTAAATATAGATGTTTATTATTTTTACATTACTGAGTTCCTGACTTTGCTTTGTCTGTCCAAGTACTTTGTAAAGATCTGTTTTTAAAGGTGCTATATACAAATGAAATTATTATTGTATAACTATCATGCGGCTGTAAAACATTTAGAACAGCTGAAGTGATTATGAATAGGTCCATATACCTACAAAATCAAAGGTTTGTTTTACCCTAAAGGTTCCACTCTCCAGGATGGAGAATGAAGTCAAATTCACTAATACAGAGGGCTTCCTCTCAAGGATGGCCCTCAATGATAACAAGGCTGGTATGGAAGGTCTTGACAGGGAGAAGATCAACAAGATTATCATGGAGTCATCCAAGGTAGATAGTACTAACATCTCAAACACTCTTGTTACCCTAGTTCTGTCATTAAATAACCATATTCCTTACAAACACACTCTAAACACTTATCAGCATGATTTCCTCTCTTGTGTCTGAGCAATCTTAATATGATGTGTGAGAAAGGACAAGACTATAGTGAGTGGAGGACTATTTGATATGTGAGTTCCACCTGTGTCCAGCCTTGTGTGAAAGTCCTGTATCCTCTGTGTTACAGTTCTTAAATAAATGTGCTAATGTAGCTTTTACAGTAAGGCTGTGCTTGAAAATCTGTAACTGTCTACTGTGGCTGTCGTTGCCCTCCAGGGATCCAGGTTTTATGAGAATGAGCTAAAGAGAGAGCAGCAGGTGAACCAGCGCATTGAGAAAATGATGCTACAAAAGGCCCAGATAACAGAACATCAGTTGAATAAAGCGCAAGCTCAGGTAAGACATGTTGATTCTCATGTGTGAGGTTACTTCCAGAGGTCACCCAAAAACAAATTTCAAAGGGGAAACAACACATCTCCAACTATTAGCGGCGTAAATCTGTCTTTAAAGGTAGAGAGGATGGCTGCAGAGCTGGAGAAGGGTCGTGATCTGAGCCGTTTGATTGTACATGTGGACATGGATGCTTTCTATGCAGCTGTGGAGATGAGAGACTGTCCCGAGCTGAAGGACAAGCCAATGGCTGTAGGATCCATGAGCATGCTGGTGGGGTAAAATATAGGAACATGATATTTTTTTCCTTAGTGTACTAATCCCTGCACTACCTCTGTACATGCATCAGATACTGTACATGGCAAAATCCAGAGTGTGGCCACACATTACCAGACCTAACAGCTTACTATTGTAAATCTCTGAACCAACATTATTTTTTATTGTATTCTTGTATTGTCGTTAATTTCTTTGAAACATCATGGATTTTTAAACAATCACCAACATGATACAGGAGCAGTCAAATGTCAGTTATGTTTTGGAAACCATATTGCCTACCTAATGTAAAATGCTTCTACTTATTCCCCCCTATCTTCTTCAGTCAACGTCTAACTACCATGCTAGGAAGTATGGTGTCCGAGCCGCCATGCCTGGCTTCATTGCGAAGAAACTCTGCCCCAACTTAGTTATTGTTCCAACCAACTTTGATAAGTACAGAGCTGTGAGTGGTGAGGTAAGTTTGATGGCAAAACATGCGAACAAAGAGTACTTTAAAACAAATGTGCTATGCATCCTCTATGTGGCTTCTTGCTTTTCACTAACAGGTGCTCATGACTTTTTGATCTCTCTGTTAGATCAGGGAGATTTTTGCAGACTATGACCCTCACTTCCAGCCAATGAGCCTGGATGAAGCCTATCTGGATTTTACAGACCACCTGGAACAGAGGCAGAGCTGGCCAGAGTCTTCACGTACACATAACTATCATGCCAACAACTCAGCATCAGGCAGGACTGAATTACACCAAAATGTTGAATGATTGTATAGTGTGGTGTCGTCCTTTTTTAAAGTTAAAACATTTGCCACATGCAGTGTAGACAGGACAACATGCCTTAAGTGCAATTCAGTTGAAATCCATCTGACTGGTGCATGTTATATTTTGTTTTCCTGTAAAGGTAAGAAGGAAACACTGGAGCCGAAAGATTTCTCTCCAGTCCTCTTTGAGGACAGCCCCAGCTCCTCGCCAGACTCTGAAGGTGTCAACACAACTGCGTTGTGTTCGGGAAGTCTGTTGAGGAGGCTGTGAGAGAGATGCGCTTTCGCATTGAGCAGAAGACCATGCTGACAGCCAGTGCAGGTGAATGAGAAACCCCCACACAGGGATGATTACTAAAGAAACATCCTTCTACTGTCAAACATTTTTTTCATTTAAGTTTCATAGCTAAATGTTGGCCTGTTCTTAAAAAAAACATAGCATTTGACTCTTCTGTGTTGTTAACCGTGTGATGATCTATTTCATCTGCCCTGCTTAATGATGATTGATTTAAAAACAATTGAGAAATATGAGACGTTCCTGTCTTTCCTGCACATTAGTTGAGTTGTCATCAATATTGTGTATTTTGTTTCACCAGCTGTTCATTTATAAACACTTTATCTGATTACACTATCCACTCTTTTAGGAATTGCTCCAAACACAATGCTTGCCAAGGTGTGCAGTGACAAGAACAAGCCCAACGGCCAATACAGACTCCCCCCTACTAGAGAGGCGGTCATGGACTTCATCCAGAATCTTCCAGTTCGCAAAGTACAGTACACATTGTTCAAACTAAATTATAAACACAGTCATGTGGCATAGCTGGTGATAAAGCATAGAACTATTTTTGAATGTTATCATTAGGGTTTTTGTTGTATTACTCGAGGCAGACGGGTGTGGTGTAAAGTGACAAATGATGTGCTGCAGACAGAGGAAAGATGGTTGAGAGAAAATCTAAAGACAGAAACTATCTTAGAAAATGTGATTTTGTGTGTCTTTCCAGGTTTGTGGCATAGGGAAGGTGAGCGAGAAGATGCTGAGTGCTCTCGGCGTCAGTAGCTGTTCTGATCTTAGCCAGCAGATGGGGCTATTGTCGTTGATGTTCTCGGAGACAGCCTGGCATCATTTCATGCAGGTTTCCCTGGGACTTGGCTCCACATACATACCTAGGTTAGTCACTGTCTGGTTAATCCGACTCAACACAACTGATTAGATAAAAAAGGCTAAGAGAAATATTCACTATCTTATTCCTTCATACAGGCACGAAGAAAGGAAAAGCATGAGCACAGAAAGGTAAGGCATAAATTGATACTGACATTGTCCACTGTACTCATTTTACCGCTTATTATCTCTCTAACTTCCCTCCGTTTCTCTCTGCTCCTCTTATTTCTGACATGTAACCTTTACAGGACGTTTAAAGAACTGAATACAGCTGAGAAGCAGTTGACTTTATGCAGGGAGCTCTGTGAAGACTTAGCAGCAGACATGAAGAAAGAAAATCTCAAGGTATACTCACAAGCGAACCTCTGTACACATTTTATGAGCGAGTGAGTGGTCCTAAACACAAATGTGTCTACCTGAGTGGTTTAAATTAATGATACATTACAAAACAAGAAGTCGGAATATTTGAGCAGAAACGGATAACAGCATTACATTTACTGAAAAAGACTATTTTGGTTAAAAAGAAATATAGTATATTATTCTTCTCCTCCTAAGAATCGCCCTGCCTCCAAACCAGACCTAATGCAATACTCCAACCTGCTCATTCCGTTTCAAATCGATAGAGAAAGAACTGGATGGCTTGGCATGAACATCACCCCCCTGCCTGGGTCCCAATGTGGCCTTGATAGCTGTAGGAAATGGAGGACCATTAAGGCAACAGCAGGGGCCACTATCAGCCTTGTAAAATGTCTCCCTGGGATATGATCACATTACTATGAAAGCTTTTTAAAGCATGCTTCTTCCAAAAATGATTCTGACAAATCAATCAGTGATGTGACAGATTATACACATTTCCACCTCTGGTCTTATTATGGCTCCAACATGCAGTTATCACAGTTAATTTTTTTTTTATATAATCAAGAGGTTGCTAGCAATATAACATAACTGTTTTTTGGATGTGAATTTAAGCTAATATTTTTCTTTTGAATTTCCTGAAGGGTAAAACAGTAACACTGAAGCTTAAGAACGTGAACTTTGAGGTGAAAAGCAGGGCGCTGACGGTGTCGTATGCTGTTGCCTCAGTGGATGAGATCTTTGCTGTCGCTAAGGACCTGCTGCAAACGGAAATAGACAATGAAAGCCCCCAGCCACTCAGACTGAGGCTCATGGGTAATTAGATGTAGCAGTATAGCTGACGCACTTGCTTGAAATAAATCTAAATGATCTGTGACACACTGCATTTGAAAACAAATCACACAATTTCTCTGGATAACTGGATTTTTTTTTTTACATTTAGGCGTGAGGATCTCTGCCTTTGTCAGTTCAGATGATAAAAAGCCGCTGCAGAAGAGCATCCTTGGCTTCCTTCAGCCAGGCAATGCAGACTCAGGCTCTACCCAAGGAATTAATCAAAAGCTTGAGAAAGAGAATCCCTCAGATCACTCCCTCTTTACCCCACTCCCAGCTTGTCCTCCCTTAAAGCAGAATTTCCAGAGACAAGAAGACATTTCTGTGTGGAACAAGCAGAGGGGGTTAGAGGAAAGCCAAGCGAGTGATGAGCCGAAAAAGTCTTTCTTCCAAAGAGCTCACGCTGAAAGACTGAAAATCCAGGCAGCGAGTGCAAACACACAGGGGGAAGGACAGGAAGAGAATGCTGCTGATATCACTTCCACAGGACCTCCTGCTCATAAGCTTGAAGAGTCACCAACAAAGGCACATGAGAGAAGCTCTACAGCCTCAGATCCCTCAGAAAATGATCACGCTTCTCCAGTAGAAGCCCATGCATCCACTTCAGGCTGTGGTGGCAAAGCGTCAGAGAGTCTCACCTGTCCTGTGTGTTTCAAGCGGGTAGAGACTACTGATTTGAATGTCTTTAACACACATATTGACAAGTGTCTCTACGATTCCTCTGGTAAGCCGAACCCATGCACAATTTCTGACTCTGATTCAGATATGGACTCTCAGAGGAATCCCAAAGAATGTGAAGTAGACGACAAATCAAGCGGGGAGTGTGTGATTGTGGAAGTGTTGGCGTCAAACAGAGATGCTCCTCGGGGTGAACAACACCGCATAACAACCGATTCTAATCAAACAGCTTTGTTGATCGATAGTGAAAACAAAACAGTGACCTCGCAACAGTCTCTGTCATGTAATGATAAAGGACCCGTACTCATCTGCCCAGTATGTCATCTTACCCAGGACAGTGATGACCTCATTATCTTTAACCACCATGTTGACCTCTGCCTGAACCAGGAGGTTCTACATGAGCTGAGAGGACGGACTTCATCTCCCATGAATCCTCCTTCAGTTCCTAATATCAAGGCCAGAGGTAAGTGTGTTTCTGATAAAATAAGGTTTTCTCACATAACAGGAACCTTCTTCTGTGCACTCTGTTGTTTCATCTCGTAACCCAGACTAACTCCTTTCTCTGGCAACTGAAGGGCAGCAAAAACAATTTGTGAACACAAAACATATGATCATTATTTAAGTTGATTCTTCATAGGTGTCAGAATGTTTCTTAATGACACATCCAGCAGTTATAGATGATCCTTGGTCAATTATTCTCTACCTTTAAGCTCTTTTTGCTCTAGCCACTTCCTGAGTGTTGCTAACTACAATGATAATACTCAGCATTTACTGTGCAATATTTTATGGTGCAGTAACATTTAATATAAAAAAAAAACTTGTGCATAACATTTAAAGTGCAGATATTGTTTATGGTGACATTGCAATGTGCAATGTTATCCTTTTGATGTGCACAGATATCTTAAGGTCATATGACACTGAGGACTGAGGTGGATGCTCTTAAGTTTTCTTAACACTTCACACAAAATCTACTTCCTTTTATATCTTGTTATAGCTATAATGGGTGGGCATGTGTGTGTGTAGATGAATGTGATAAATCGTATTTCTTTTGTTTTAGAGAAGCAGAGCAAATGTTGTTGTTAACATGTGCAATGACACTAAAAGCATTCTATGAGCTGTGTCTGCTCCAGCTAGTCAGTCAAGTTTATTAGAGAGTTTTTGCTGAAAAGTGCTGACTTGTGCAACTAATATTTATTATGTTTTGAGTGTGAACCACAAAAAGGGAAGTTGGGGCTCAGAAAATTAAGCAAGATTAAACTTCCCTTAAAGATCCATAAAGTGAGAGAGACCTGCAGATGTTGGTGATCATAATCTTCAATCATATCATTCTGGGACTCTGTATCTCCTGTCACATTCTTTAATGCCTTCACTTCGTGCACTTTTATTATTAAATTACGCTTATTTCATTAAAATAAGTTAATTACAGGGCGCTGGTGGCGCAGTGGTTAGTGCGCGCGCCCCATGTATGGAGGCTTTAGTCCTCCAAGCGGGCGGCCAAGGTTCAAATCCCACCTGTGGTTCTTTTTCCGCATGTCATTCCCTACTCTCTCTCCCTGATTTCCATATCTATCCACTGTCCTATCTCTTCATTAAAGGCACAAAAAGCCCAAAAATAAATCTTAAAGAAAGAAAAATTATAAGTTAATTATAGCTCCTTATGTTTTGGTGGCTTTTGGTGAATCATTCATTCAACATAGATCTAAATTCTGAGGATGTAACTAACTCCACAGATGATGGCTATGTTCCTGTTAGCTACTTCTATATAATGTGGTGGTGCGACATCTTTTGAGTCAACAGAAGGAATGTCTATTTGGGAGGATGCCGTTGACCTCTGACTTTGTTACTCACTGACCGTGACATTGTGTGAGAAGTTTCTATCGATTCCTACAGAGAAAAGACATCTCATTTCAGCCCCCAGGGCTTCCTTTGCCCCGGTCTTGGAAATGGCCAAATCACTTTCTCACCTATTCATTTCCTACAATGAACTGCACCCTGGTTTCCTCTTAAACAAGCCTGCCTCAGAAATTGCACTCTTTTTTTATCCCTTAAGAGGTTCTGCAATCGTGTGCCTCCTCGGTGGATGTCATTTTTTTTCTATCAGGAATGAGATACAAATGTTCTTTTTATCTGTGTTATGAGTGTCTGTTTCTTTTCACAGGCAAAGGCCGTCTCCTGACAACACAAGGAAAAAAAGCAAAAAGGTAAGACAGCTTGATTACAGATTATTGCTGCACAAAAAGGTAACGTGCTTGTTCTGTGTACTTTAGCTAAGGGAGAATACATTTAAAGTCCTGTCAACAGGAGATGTTTTAATTAATAGTTACGGTGTGTGTTGATTTCCTGACTTTTAGACGGGACACGCCGCCCTCTCCTCCGTCGAAAAAGGCTAAAGGCGTCGGTCCTCTCAACACAATTGACAAGTTCTTCAGGTGACAGTTGGAAAAGCTGTGTGTGTCCATCCTTATCTGGAAGAAGTGAAATGGGAAGCAAAGTGTTTACACTAATATACCTTATTGGTTGTTTTATAAGCCATATGACAAGATTTGAAAACTGATGAACACAAATCCTATTTTTTTTTTTCAATTCTGGCAAATGAATGTTATGACCATGTTGCCTGTCTATCCAACTATTTGAAGATAAGCCTGAAGTTTTTAAGATAAATGTTTGCATAATAGATCACGAGAGTATTTATTTCTTAATGTTACAGTGTTCGTTTTAAACTTATTTAATTATTTGATTATTTTTTTTGTCACTTTCAGTTGTATTTATTTTGGATTTCAATGATGATAGAGTTTATTTAATAATGAAGATAAGAGAATCCTTTGATCATGTACATCGAAATAAAAGACTATTCTGCTAAAAATTCAACTCTGTGTGATGAAAGTTTATTACCATCAATTCTCTGAGTATAAATCCTCAGAACATAAAAGGTTGAGCTACTGGAGAAAATCTCACATTTAGCCCGGTTGAAAGTAAATTTCAGACTTGAGTGTTGGTCTAAATCTTGAAATAATTCAATAAAACAGTCTCCAGTTTGAACTGCATGTGTGAACAGAATTAGAGTGTTTTGGAAAGAGTCTGCGATGACTCAAACTTCCAAGCACAAACCAGTTAAACGTCTGTTACAGCCTTATGTTAATCATAAGTAAATATTTCCCTATGTTCACAGATGCTTAATATGACCTAATTTGACTTAATGCATGATGTAGTTTAAGCTTAACCTGTGTCAACTACTAGTCATGTAATACAGGTGAAATGTGACCAGATAAACATTCTTTACCACTATAAGAAGTCACCCAAGGGTGTGAGCTGGTAAAGTAAACAAGGATCAGCCCTCCGGCAGAAAGAAACAAGAAGTACACTTCCACTTCAAGACTTGCCGTTCATTATCTGGAGGCAGGATCTACGTGAAACTGGAAAACATTTTCAGCCACGGTGAGAGCTTTTCCACAGGTTTTTTCTTTAGTTTGCGTTCAGCGATCACAGGACTGTTTATGAATCCACAGCCAGTCTTAATTTAAAAGTTAGTGTTAAGCGCTTACAAATGGAGGGAAGAGCTACTGCTCTGAGGTCGATGATCCAGAAGCATCGTCCCAAGAAGGAGGATCTGGACCCTCGGAGCTGGATGACACAGGGAACTAAGGGGTTTTCTGAGCTCATGCAGAACAAGAACGTGGAAGACACAGACGACAGCTTTGACACCAAAGAGATGTGTGAGTATGGAAGGGGAAATAAAACAACATTTAAAAGGGTGGAAAATTAACTTGTCTTTAAACAGCATGAAATAAGAAAACACTGGACAAGAGCTAAGGAACAAGTTTTACTTGTTCAGGGCTGAGCCTTGAGGATTTTACTGTTAAAGATGGAGTTAATCATTAGTTATTCATGGTGGTGAACTGACTGAATGCTCAGTGCACGATAGTTTCTTCCCTATTACTATTTGCACAAGACTGAGACAACATGCTCATCTCAGTATGTTGGTTTACATTATGTTCCTGCTCTGACACCACATTCATTTAACCTCATATGGTTGTGTATTAAGCCTAGACTATGCTGTCATGTATGCTGAAGAAAAATAGAGAAAAAGTCGTTTAATGCGCTTGTTTTCTGTACTGTGCAGTGCTAGAGGCAGAGAAGCAGTTTATGGAAGCAGCCAAGAGAAATGACGTGGAGACCATGAAGACTCTTGGAAAAGGCCTGAATGCAAACGCAAAGAATTTGGTGGGTCCAAATAATTGAACCCTCTATCTGTGCTTTGTATAAATTGTCAAAAAATAGAACAATAGGCAAATAGGTGCTGTGACTGAGTTGTTTTCCCTCAGCATGACAGGACGGCCCTTCATTATGCCGTTGCTGGCAGGAACAAGGAAGCTGTGAAGTTTCTTCTGCAGCGTAGGGTCAAAGTGGACCAAAGGGACAAGGTGAGAGTGTTTGGAATGTCTGCATCAGATCATTTGACCTGCATAAGTTTTGGTAATTTTAAGCAAACACAACTTTTCATTTTGTGCTGTGACAGTACGGTGTGGCAACCATTCATTTGGCTGCCTGGTTTGGCAGTTTGGAGATCCTAAAATTATTAGTGCAAGCTGGGGCCGACCAGAAGGTTGAGAATGAGGTAAGAGAGCGGGGGGGGGGGTCCTATCTTTTTTACTGTTGCTCTGTATAAGACTGAGTAAATCAAGAAACGAACATTATCAAATGTCTTCTCCTGATGCACGAGTTGATCTCTTCATTCTGTTTTTGCTTTTTCTACCTCAGGAAGGGATGAACATCATACACTGTGCTGCTATAAACAACCACACAGACATTGCAGAGTATATCATTAATGACCTGCAGATGAAAGAACTAGACAAAAATGACCAGGTATAATCTACTTGACACAAATCTTTCATAAATCCACTTAATTCTGATCAAATGATAAAAAGCAAATGCGATTATGTGTTTCAATTCTTCAAATCAGTCAGGAAACCAGGCCTTCGCGTTGGCAGCAGAGCATGGCTGTGTTGAAATGTTGGAGTTGCTTATGGATCCATACATGATGGGCACCATGAAGCCCAACAAGGTGTGTTTAGACTCACTAATTTGTTTTTGATTCGAGCGCATTTATTCACATTATGCAGCTGTTTATGCTCCTGGGGTCTGATTGCACGCTTGAGTCACACCTGCAGGACGCCTCAAAGTCACATTCTTTGATGCGAGTTGTTTCCCTCCTTCCCTGCTGCCAGAGAGGGGACACGCCCCTGCACTTAGCTGCCAGGAACGGCCACTTGGACGCCATCCAACTGCTGCTGCAGAGCTTTGATACTCGGGATGAAGTCAATATGGTACACAATCACTGAAAACATGCTCTCTATCGTGGTCTGGTTTGTGACAGTGTGTGCTCAATGGCTAATCCACTGCTGGCTGGTGGCTCTAGTTTGGATTGATTAAGATGTATTGAACATGTGCTGTAAACCATTATCTCACAAGCCAAACAGTAACATGGGCTGAACTTCAGCTTTGACTGCTAGATGGTGCTTGATCATATTTTGAATGATGCTGCTGGTCAGTGATGTATCATGCTGGTAATAGAGCATAGTGATGTTTATCATCTCTATTTTTTTGATTATTGGTTTAATCAAAGATCTTAAAAAGTCAATAAAATAAAAAATATTTGGGATCAATTAAGATACAACGGACTGTCCAAGTTCCATCTGTGTAAGAAAGTTGGTTAATCTGAGTTATTATTATTATTTTTTGCTTCTTTAACTGATATCTAGAACCCATGCTGCCTTTTTTTGATAGATATTTTTGTTGCAGGATGGTGAGACTGCTCTGTACCAGGCTGCAGACAGCGGTCATGAAGGATGTGTCCATATCCTGCAGGACGCTGGCTGTGACCCCAACATCCTCACAACGGTAAACTACATTGCATTACCGTATTTAACAGAGAAACCAGTGACCAGTTGTCCTGTTGTTAACTAGGCTATACATTTCTGGAAAACATTTCAGTGTGGTAAATACGTCACGCAGCTTAAAATTGATGTGGTAAAAAAATGTTTTTGTCCTAAGAGCCTCAGCTAAATGTCTTTGTCTTCTAGGCCAAATCCAGTGCTCTCCATCCAGTTTCAGAGAGAGGGGACGCCTCTCTTGTCCAAATTCTCTTAGACAACAAAGCCCACACCGACAATAAAAATCAGGTAAGAAAACAGGAGTCAGGCGGCAGCGGTACACTCTTTTTATTCACACATGAGCTGTGCTGTCCTCATGTCCATCATGATTTTACATATTCTCTTTTACACTAACAACCATTTTTTGGGGCTCGATGTATTTCAATGTATTTTAGAATGAAGAGGCTCCTCTCCACCTGGCGGTAAAGCACGGTCACATCCCCATCATCCATTCTCTGCTGGAGGCAGGCTGCGACATTAATATCACAGATAAGGTATGACCTCCCTAAAAAGGCATGTGAGACATACAAGAGATCATTTACGATAACCTAATAAAATCGTTTCTGTATTGTGTTCTTTTGAAATGCCATGAACTGTTAGCGGTCACAGACTGCATTGCATCTTGCTGCAGAGCTGGCCAGAATAGAAGTGGTGGAAATGCTTCTTAAAGCCGGGCTGGATCTGACACTCAAGGATAAGGTTAGACTTCTAAATAAATAATTTTCTACAGCTGACAATTTATCTACCTTTAAGTTTAATTGGTAATTTTCTCTCACTCTTTATTCACATTTTTTTTTTAAATTTCAGTGCAAAACAGAATATTTGCATAAATCAGTATTTTAAAACACCCCCAGCGGGTGAAGCATTGAAATTGCGAGGAGTAAATTTGAAAGCTTCTTTTCTAATCAAAGTTGATTTTCTTTCACATTCTCTACATGCATGTTGGACGTGGAGCAGCAGGGTAAGACAGCTCTGGGTGTAGCAGCCAGAGCAGACGAGGTGATTATTGTGGACATGATCATTAAAGCAGAAAGATACTACGCCTGGAGGAAGGTGAGAACGTGAAATGATATTTGCTACTTTGGCTGCCTTCATATTTGCAATAATCATTCTTGATGCCTCAACATCCAAAGTTATAATCATTCATTCCAACGCCATAATCCAGATCAGACAAATCCATTAATACAATTAAAACATGGAGAGGGAAAAATGACTCACATCCCAGAAACATTTGTAAGCTAATTTACCGTAAACTCAATTAAAGTTCAGCCTACATCCCTATCCCTTTTTGATTCTGAAAATGTTTTTGAATGCTTTCATATTGCTAATCATGCACGAGTGTCTTTCCAATAATCTCCTCCTGTGCCCCCTTGCGCTCTGTGAGGCTTGTGGCCTTTATCAATCTACTGACGTGATTTAATTGCCCTTTCAGGCCAACCCTGAGCTTAATGAGGATGTTCACAGCGAGCATCCACTAACGTTTAAACTCGACCACCGCTGTGAGACCAAGCGGCTCCGTACGATGGCCTGGCGTCTGGCATACGAGCTCCTGAAACCAGGGGACTGGAAAACACTAGCAAACCACTGGGGCTTCACTAAGGAGCAAATGTCCTCCATCGCGGAGCAGTGGACAGGTGCCTCATCTTACACTAACTGGACAGGCTTCTGACTGTGCAATTAGAAACTCCCTCTTGTAGCTAAATTGTTAGATTTGAATTACTATACTTATAAAGACATTTTTCAATATAAGGAATATCTTTTAGTCTTTGATTTTCTGTTATGTATTTGTTTGCATACCAGAGATCTTGTGATGATTATGACTCATTAAATTGTTTTCTTAACTGCTGTTTTTGTGTTTGCCCTCAGGTCAGCACAGTTATCAGGAGCACGGGAACAGGATGCTGCTGATCTGGCTCCACAAGGAGGAGTTAGTTCACAAGAACCCTGCTAAAGAACTCTACCAGGGGCTCATCCTCACAGGAAACAGGAGAGCAGCAGGTACATTCAGTTAACATATTTCTTAACAAAGTACAAATGGAGAAATGTTAAACATTTTGTTGTGCTGCCTGGGGGCTTGTGCTAAACTTTTATTACTAAGTGTTCATTTGTTTCACAGATAAGATTCAGATGGAGGCAGAGAGTACCAGCAGTAAGAGCTGCACCATTTCATGAGGCTGAGCCGTTTGGACTGACAAACTCTAACTCCATATTAACATCATTTTCATCAAGCACTCATCTACACACAAAGTCAATGGTAAAATAATTTATTTTTAAAATAAAGATGTGCATCAGATCATTTACATATGGCTTTGGATAAGTTCAAAGATGATCTGTTCTGTTGGACGTTCGGTGTCAGTTAAAAAAAATACATATTGAATGTGATTTTACACATTACAGAACATTTCACAGCTGTGCATAATTTAAAACAATTCCATTTAATAACATTTACTAGTGCAGCTGGTAATACTGAAAGCATAAACGTGCACCTCTATGTTTATGTTATCTTTCCCTGAGAAATATCCTATTGCTCGAGAAATGTTTCATTTGTGAAAGGAAGCTGAACAATGGCAAATGATCACTTTAAATGTAGAGAGCAAGGGCAAATTGAGTTCAGCATGTCCAGAAATTGACTTAAACTAATCCCAAAATAACTACTTCTAAGATTTTTCCCAGGATGCATTTGATTTTATATCTAGACTAGGAGAGCAACATTTTTAAAGAATTGTCTGCGTACTCAGTCAACTACTTTGATGGAGTGAACATGGCATGTGCTGGTGTGTGTTTTCGAGGAGCTTCTGTCTCTGGAGGAGCTGTGGCCGGGTTTGGATGAGCGAGGAAACTTTGCAGCAGTAGCCTGACCGACTGTGAGCTGTAGGAATGAGAAGGGACCTTTTATTTTTCAGCTTAGATAACTCAGGGTACATGAATGTCAACATTTAAATAGTAACATTTCTGAGTGAGCGCAGTAATGCACACTTTTCCAGTACCTGTGTAACAGGGTGATGGCGTTCAACAATCACAGAGCTCATGGGCGGAGCCACACCCATCACCTGGAGGTTGCTACGTGCGGTCTTAGCAACGTCAGCACGTGCAGTAATGCGAGCGGTTACCGTCTTGGACGGTTTTTGTTGACTGGCTGTGACAACACGACCACTGACCTGAAAGACAAAACAAAAAAACAACATCTTGCATCATGAGAAATTTGATTACTGCAGTAATAAAGACTTTGAAGCCACTATTTAAAGAGTTACTATCAAAGTTCAACAGAGCTAGTGTGAGACAGACATTGTCAATCCAAACGCCTCGAGCGTCAGAGTCAATAGATCAATTTATGTAATTCTTACATGTTTATGGGAACCTGCAGCGCCTCCTAGTGGTAATGAGCCGTGCACCACAGTAGTGGGAAGGAGTACTTCTTCTCTGGACATGGAAGCACCAGAGCCAACCTGAGGAAAAGGGAATCATGGGAAGCAAGAACAAGAGCGAGGATTAGAGATTCAAAGTGCTGCAAATAAAAACAGAGAAAAGATTGAGAAATTCAACACTGCTTATGTTTCTGTGGAATCTTCATCGAAACAGTGAAGTGTTGAGATATAATGTAACAACAGATACAGAAAGATAAGATAGATAGATAGAATCTTTATGATCATTGTATACAAGGACACAACGAAACTAGTAGCAATCCTACACAGCAGCGTTTACAAAAACAAAAATATATTTGTGGTGATATGAAAGATAAGCAAATAACAAAAAAAGCACATACTTTAAGTTGAACTATGGCTTGTAAAATAATGTATGTTTTTGAAAGAATCCATCAGTTCTCACCATATCCGGCACTTCACTGTGGGAGGGGTCTGGATGGTCAAAGGGGACTGGGCTGAACCGTGTGGACGAGACGGGACGCGGTTGAAGTTGAGCCACCGACGAAGAGCTTGGCTCATCATGGGGAGTTAGAATATCTAAAGATAGAAAAAAAAAAAAAAGATACAGCATTCTTAAGCCGTTCGTTTGAGTTTAAAATGTTCCTCAATGCAAGGAGGAAAATTGAACGACTGGCAGTTTCCTTTATCTGAAATAATTTCTGAATCTATGTTCTAAACATGTATATAAAAAAACACCCTACTTGTTTGAACAAATTCTAACAGTACAAATTTGAAACTGTATATGTAGAAGAGCAGCCAGTGCCATCTACACAGTTCTATAAAGTGCAAATTAAAAAGGTGGATGACCATAAATAGTGCAGAACTACTTTACGGTATGTGCTTTATGTTAAAAACAGATACATATTATTTCATACCAATGAATTTAGTGTTAGACAGCTTAGCAAACCTGCATCATCTCTGAGATACATCACAAGGAGAAATACAACAAAAGAGTATTCAAGTAACAGCTGAGTTTGACATTAATAGGAAATTCAAATGAGGTTGCAATACTCATTAAACTCATAAGCAGATGGATGAGCAGAGGACCATGTCACAGATCTGTTGTACAAGCGAATAAATCCGTTATATCTCAGCTTCAGCAGACATGTGCTCAACAGATTGTTACAGCTCAATAGAACCCTAGAATAATCTTAGCTTTTTTTTCAACATACTGATGGCAAGGTGTACATCTAGTGTGAAGTATTAACTCAGGAACTGTTGACCTGATCCACATTATGTTTACTACGGTGGGATCATCTGGTGTTTGATGCTTTCGTCTACTCAAATATCCTGTATTGTTGTAAGCCCCTGACCTAATCTTTCAGCATTAACATACACATTGAGAACATGATTGAATAGATGTTGTAAAGGGATATTGCACTTTCACAGTGACACGTGGAGGTGATCACCTCTGTAATGTAGTCCTCAGTCAGCAAATCCACAAACTCATCCATTCATTGATGAGTCAGTGAATGACTCCGAGAGAAGAACAAAGACCCCGCCTACTCCACTTGTTCATAAATCTCCACCCTTGTCAATAACACACTCTGGCACTCTATGGACAAATTGTGTTTCGGTTCTGAAGGCTGCATTTAATCAATGCAGCACATAGTCAAGGCTGACAATGCCTTTATGGTTTGTTATAGCAGGGTTCTATTTATGTAGCTGTGGAGCTTGAGAAGAAGAAAAATCAATCGTGCAAGGTTTAAAGTGTTTGATTAAAAGAAGGATATCATAAAGGGGGTGGTGGTTATTTTGTTACGAACCATGCTGATGATGAACTGGAGGGGGCTCTGGCCGTCCCTCTGTACTGTGGAACATTCCCAGAGCCTCAATGTTGAGAGCACAGACGCCCCTCATGAAGGCTTTCTTCATAGATTCCTCGTAGCGCTCCCTCTCAAGTCGTAGTCTCTGAATCTCTGCCTGGGCTTTCTCTATAGCATCACAGTGCTGTGGAAGACAGTCAGTCAATCATCAGTTTATATCATGATGACAACACCATTGATGCTCATTGTATTGTTTTTCAGTTAAGGCATTTGTGTTGCACTGTTGGTACACAACATTTGTAGCATTATCAATAACAGGTTGTCCCACTCTATGTGTCAATAAAAAAGAGTTAAAGGTAAACTACCGCACAATGTCTAGTTTGCAAACATTTATTGGCGACATTTCGTTGCTCGACCTTCATCAGGCAAAAGTAGTAAAACAACTCAGCAACAAAGAATCCTCACAGCCATTCAATGGCAGGTCCTCTATCGCTTATTTACCTCTGCCAGCTTGGCCTCGTACTCTGCAGACAGGCGGGTGCAGACCTCTTCAGCCCTCGCACGGCAGGCCCGCTCCAGATTGACCTTCCAATGTTTCTGGAGCAGAGAGTGCCAGCCTAACCACACCTTCTTCTTCAGCTGCATGTTGTAGTGCTGCTGTGCAGCTTGAGCAGCATGAGCCTGACGGGGAGCCACAAGAGCATGAAAATATTGACGAGGAAATACTTCTACCCATAATTCATGATTGTGCAGGGGAAGAACATTTCCTCATTTCTGTATCAGGGTTTGGACAGAAATGAGTGCCATCCACTAATTATTCAATTTTAAGGAAATGTTTTTTTATTTATTTGTCCTACTATTCAGTTTGATACGTAGTATGGTATGCAAATTAACAGATTCGTCATTCGTGCACTGACAAGGTTTCAAATGTACATTTTGAGAGAGGATATAGTTGTGTATATGTGGCACGTTCAGTGACATAGTGATGTATGGTTCAGTGACTCATGCAGAGACGGATGATCTACATAAACCATTAAACTGAACCTACAGTAATCAAACAATTTCAAATCACACACAGTTTATAGAATCATGCTCTCTGCTGACTGAACTAGTAAGAATCTGTGAGGATTTTATTTGTTTAAAAGAAATAGAAGAGAGAGAAGGGTGTGTTATGCAAGATGGTTTAGTTCAAAGCTTGAAATCAAACCAGCCTCACCCTATCTACACAAAAGCCTGTGAAGACACCCACACGTCCCCTCTGTGAATTCCACTACAAATAGGTTTTCAAGCTGTGGGAAATATAACAATGTCATAGGTTTACCTCTTCTTTAGCCTCAGCATGCTGAAGTCTCCAGTGGGTGAAAGCCCTCATCTTTTCAAGCCTTTCTTTTTGTCTGTCCAACACCTGGCTCAGGTTTACAATCACCTGAGGGAGGAAACATCACACAATAAGCTTTTCAAAAGTAGAAAAGGTCACCTTATTATTTCCTTACTATTGATATAGGCACTTAGCATAAGAGAAGGAAAGTGAGAAAAGATAGAAATATGAGCTTGATAGTTCAGACATTGATTAAGCCCAGCCTGTCCTACTGTAATATTTACCAGACTGTTATTTACTTCACGTCTGAAAAACCAGTATACTATGTACGAGAGAGAGCAAATAAATACATGTGTAGTCACCTCATCTTTTCTCTGGTTGGAGGTCTCGTAGGTTTGTAGCAGTCCCTTTAGGCTGTCTAGCTCGGACTTGAGGCCAGCTGTCTGGGCAGCATACTTCTCCCTCTCTTTCCTCATCTCCAGCTTGTGTTGCTCCTTGAATGCCAGCTTCCACTTCCTGAGCTCAGTCAGTACATCTAACTAATGAGGGAACAGAGGATGGGTGTACTAAATACGGTAGGTGTTAAAAATAAATAAAAAAGTGCACTGGAGGACTTTATTAGTAGACAAACTTGGTGGATACATGGCATCATGTATATGCAGTGTTTCCCCTACCATTACATTAGGGGGCGGCTCAGTCTGGGATAGGCTACCACACTCAGACTCGGTAACAACCACAATGCAGTAGTATACTTTAATTTGGCTGTTCGGGTAAATGGTTTAATTAATAAACTTAACAAGTAGCCACGAATGTGTATGCCTTGATTTACTGGAAACAAAACAATATCCTTTACTCTAGTCCATAGTCCCTCACTGCCTTTCAAAGGAGTCTCTTTAATCGGCACTGAGCAGTTGATTGGTTTTAATCTGGCCTTCGTGAGTCAGAAGTACAACATTAGAAGAAAAGGGCAGAGAAGACATCCATGACCAGGCACTCTCACTCTCCAAGTTCAGACACATGAAAAAAGGCCACCTGTAACCCTGAAGAGTGAAGCTGCCATCAAATTCAATGAACCTCTCTAAGATTCAAACTGTTTACATACAATCTCTGACTTCTTACTATCCCCTATGAACACTGTCCACAGTATTTCTAGGGTTAAATCTCATTCTACCTGCCTTCTCGCAGTGGTGAAAAAAATGTCAATATAAACTTGCTCTCCAGATTTCAGTCACGTTTTTTTTTTTATTTTGTAAGCAAACTACACTAACCTGAAAATGTGTACACCAGAGCAGTTAAATGTTCCCTGCTAGATTGTTCTTGAATGTTTAATGCTCTGTTAGAATTCTTACCGACCACAAAACTTTCGATTGTGATTAAACAACACGGGCAATTTATGATTTCAATTTATCAACATGTCAACCTATTTACTGAAAACTACTCAAAAAACAATACTAAAATGTAACTGTAACTGTTCTTAGTTCAAAACTAAGCTATGGCAGATCCCTTCATATGGCCATAATACATTAACTTTGGTGAGCTCTCCAGTTAAAAACAAAGTGAAGCTATAAATAAAAAATAAAAAAGATTCAAAATACATTGTTAAGTAGTGAGATGAGGAGGCGTACTAACCTTCAGGTTGTTGCTCCACATTGCCAGAATGTTCTCCATCTTGCTTATGTTCTCCTCTGAGATAAAAAGCTCCATCACAGATTCCTCGAGCGGGTCTGGGCTGTTTGACCTAGACCTCTCAGTTGGAGTCTGCAGCCTGTCTGACGGAGCGTTTGAGAGCGCTGATGCCCTGCTAGATGGCCGACCCTCCATGTCCTCAGCTAGTAAAAAAAAATAAACACAAAAAGAAAACAATACAGTATTTAATATACATTTAATATAGACCTAACCATTTTGTTTCTTTGCATTTAGTTAGTTTACCCTGAGAAGCTCTTGAGTGTGAGGGGGGCTCAACAATCAAGGGGGAGGCAGGTGATAATCTCACAGTCTTGCTAGACGCCCTCCCACCCTTAGTTCCAGTGGCAGTTTCTCAGAGAGGATAGAAGAGACGAGGAACAAAATAACAGAGGGAATGTTACAAGAATATTTTTTTTTTTTTACCCAGAACAGGTGAAAAAAATCAAAATGGTAAACAAGCAAAGGTTAAAGTCAGAAAACCAAAGACAGCCAAGAACAGAAAAGGTGATGGCAAGAATGCTGAATAAGAGAAGCACGACTCCTCGTCCAGGAATGCATTTGTGTCAATATCTTAATTAAATTCTGCAGGGGGAAGAAAAAGCCTGCACTCTAAAGAGCAGTACGGGCAGAGTGCCAGGAGATCATTACCAATTGTCTGTCTGCTCTCTACATCCCTGTGCAGTACTCCATGACAGTTAAAGCACTAAACCTCAGATGAGAGCTGGTGCTGGTGCTGGGGGGGGGGGGGGGCTGATGGACAGTTTAAGATGGAGGTATCACAGGGATAGAGATGGATCGTACTGACATACTGCTATCATATATATTTTCATCATGACTTGACCACAAGATGAAAAGATCTGGTCGATAAAACACTACATTTTTCCATGCTGTGATGGCAAATCCTTTTTTTGACAGCTGATCATTTGATGAGGGCAGTGTCTGGAAGGCCTCCAGATATGTTTCTGTCAGAAAGGCTTAGTTAAATGAGTGTGTGTATGAGTGTGTCCTGCACACAGGAACTTCAGATACCTGCTGGGCGCTGTGATTTTGTGTCATCTTTTCTCTGGGAAGTCCAACCCTCTCCAGTGAGATGTGAGGTGCTCAGCCGCTGAATGTGAGCAGCTGTAAGTGTCTCAAGCTTAGGGGTGACCACAGCGTAGCGGAGAAGCTCCTCATACTCATCCTGTTGACCAATACAAGTTTTAAAAATGATCGGAGGTCTCAAGTGTTTTAAGGTTTTTGCTTTTGTTGTTTGTGATTACATTTGGGTCATCATCTTCAATTTAGAAATACAGGGAAGCAAGGGCAACAACGTTTTACACAGCTTTAAACTACTTATTTTTCAGAGCCATTTGTAAAGCTTTACATACAATCGACTTAACTAACTAAAAGTAGTTACACACACACACGTTTTGCTCATAAATTCGAGTGATGCTTTCAGAGTTTCTTGATTGCATTTTTGGGCTCAAACTGAAGATGTGTTACACATTTTAAGGGGTACGTGGCTTGTAAGGTTGAAAGACGTGGCAAGTGCATAAAGACACATTCATTGTAACTGTGTTTTCCTTGAATCACCTGAAGCTCAGAGGAAACAGAGCTGCCTGGATCAGAGTCCCTGGGAAGAACAGGACTGGTTGGTTCCTCTTCGTCTGACGACATCTGGATTAAGGCATAATTGTTAAAATTGTGTTACTTCACTGAAAGACTATCTGCAGCACCAATTTATGGCAGTTTAGGTTACAGTCTATGGTCCTGACCCTCACATGTAAGTCATGTGTTGTAGTTCATGGTTTATATTCTCATAGCATTATTTTTTAATCACTAACAAAGAGCAATCGTGGCTCAATAACTATGGGGACAAATTACAGTCTGTCTTTTTTTTACTTTTGCTTTACTAACAAATACAGCAGCACAATTTGTACACCTTTAAATATGTAACATTATATCGAAGCTGTTTTTAAAGTGCACATAATAAGTAATGCACAAAGTCCCAGACTAAACAAAACACATGTTCTCATAAATCCTGTAGCTAAGCGAGCTAAATCGTGTTTGACTTCTGTTCCTTTTAGTAGCGATTCAAATAAATAGCTGTATTATTAGATGAAAATACGATGCAAAACCTTTCAAAACTACAAAGCTAGGTGATGTCTAACAGATACATGCTTACTTTTTGAATGCTCAGCTGAACAAAACGCAACTCTTGAAAGCTATGGGTGATGTTTTACAGTATAAATCACTAAATTACAACGATAAGTAACCACTAAAACAGTACAGGTAAAGGATGCATTGAGATTTCTACCTGTTTCATTTGATGTTTGTCGGAAAGTTTCGACACGTATCCACGAAGTTATTCCGTCGGTTGGAAAATGCTGCTAGCCAGTTTCAAACCATTGAACAAAACACTCTGTGATTTGCTGCCGTTTCCACAGCGCCGTTCAAAAGCGTCTCTGATTGGGTACCAAGTTTCCATGGTAACGGTAAGCGGAACAACGCGAGGCTCACCAATAAGCTCACAACAGTGGAGTCTACCCACCACATTACAAATACAAAGCTAAGCTCCTGTTGTTTTTCCTCATATATTAATCTAAGCATGTTTATTTATTTTACTTTTTTTTTCTTTAGTATGGCAGCCAGTAGCAGCACGGTGTGAGTATCATTGTTAAGTAGCCTACTATACATATCACATTTAGAGGACCACAGGCAGAGATCATCTCTCAGCTTTAGCGATCAACAACTTAAAATAAATGCTCCAACATTAAAAAAAAATGTTTGCATGTATTTTCACGTGTATGATGTTGCTAGCTGCAATCCAAAGAGCCTGCGGTGTCACTAGTAGCCTACAATGCAGTAAAGAGATAAGCTGATTAAAACTGTCACAAGGAAAGAAAACCTACCTGTTTCCTAAAGAAGGTGTAAGTCTTTGGGGAATACCACCATCCTGTGAACCTCCCTGTGGCCATTTCTCTTTTGTTCATTAGGCAAAAACAAACTGAAGTACAACAATTGCTGAACCCCCTGAAGACCTGCAGTGCTTAACGGTATTAAGACACATATGTGGGAGAGGCCTAAGGGCTTGGCAGCCCTGGGATGGGACAGGCTCTGGAGAGAGGAGACATATGGTCCCGCTCAGCAATGGCAGAGCTGCAGGCAGTACTGTTGGACTGGAGCCTCCTCGCCACCTGGCTGAGTGCGGAGAGTACTTCACTGTCCGAGGGTGTCCGGTCAGCATTGTTCTAAGCTGACTTAGAAAAGGGGTAAGACAGGGTTGTAACATTGCTGTCAGTGCAGAATTTCCCATTGGATAGAAAAAAACAACAACCATTTTTATAATTGTCCATGTGGTGACAAAGTATTAACATCTGACTCAAATTCAAGCAGACAATCAGTCTAATTGGTTGCAAATGAAATACATATTTCACTTATACCAGCAAGGCTACCCCCCCACCCCCCCACCCCACACACACACACACACACACACACACACACACACACACACACACACTGTACTTACATATCTTGACAGTTGATGCAGGCATATGAGTTTGAAACACAACCATGAGGCACAGAAGATAATCCTCGCTGCTCTGTGGGGAACGGAGGTTTCCTGTTGAATGACAGGAAGCCATAGCGCCCTCAGATTACTTCTTCCATTTCAGAGCAGATGATTCAGATGGTTTGAAAGGTTTTGGTGATGTGTTCATCACAATTTCTCTTTTTTTTTTGTCACACCAGCTTGGCTTGTGAGTTTCTCGTATACATGCTATTAATATAAGACTGCAACTCTCCTTTTGATAAACTATTATAACAAGGGCGGATTAGAGGCACAGTTTCTATATGTGTGTGTAAAGCTCCAAAATGTTAAGTATATTCTTTTTATGTACCCAGTGTCTTTTTTTTATTAATGTGTGATGTTTTTTTTGATCAGTGTTACAGCAGATTAAATTTCTGTCCTTCAAATATATAAAATAATCACATTTTTCTTTGTGAATACAAATCACAACTAATACATTTACATCAATAAATTGGTTTAAGAAACCCAGGAAATAGAGACAGAAGCTAATTCTGTACTTGCTGTGTTTAATATTTTCCTCTTGTTGCAGACAAAGGTCATCTATACTGTTGATAGTGGTTGGATTAAAGCAAGCATTACTGCCTCGACCCTTCTTTAGATCCCGTTTGTAAATTTCATTTTCCTCTCAAAATGAAATGCACCAGGGTCTGTGTGTTGAAATCGGATTCAGGTCACATTCTTCTCTCATAGCCTGTTCAATCTGTTCCAGGACAATAATCACAATCCATTTGACTTTCTTCCCCCCGGTATTTCAGCTCAGGTACGTTAGACTATTCAGGACCTTGCAATGGTAGACAGAGCAGAAATTAGGAAATAATGTTCTGCGCTTACACAGGCTGACATTGTTAAGGAACTTTTTCTTACAGTGCATTTTTTTGACTTTCTTCTGTCCCTCACAGATTCTCCAAAATAACAGATTCTCCAAAATATTTTTGCATGTCCCATGAAATGTTTTGTGTATGTACTTCATTTTTCTTGTATTACAACTGAGAAACCAGACTACAATGTGGTATAAATTGTTTCTGCCCTTGTTCGATTTTTAGTCAGACGTATTTACAGACAGCCATAACTCCTGCAGACAACAACTAATGTGCTGTCATCAATCGTAATGTTATCAACCCATTTTTCTCTCCTAGCAGACTATGATGACCTCTCAGTGAACATAATGTTGCCAGAGCTCATCTTAGAGTTATACGCAGCTACCTGCTGTTTTCAAATTAGTTTTCATTACATTTTGATGGAGCTGGACTTCCCCCTTGGGACACTCTAATCCATCACATCTCTGTATCTGTGACACTGGTGTTTTTTTGTCATGCTTTCAAAATATTTAGGGACCAAATTCTCCCAGCATTTGTACACATCATGGCTGCATTGTTCTAGATAAGATAGTATGTACGACCAAGTACATTTTACAACATATCCGAACAATAAGATAAATGCTGACTCCGGCAGATGCAGTGGTCAGCTCTGTGAGTGCAGATGAGCAGAGGAGGCTGTGAGAGAAGATGGAGACTAAATCAGTTAGTCGGAGCTTTTATCTCCACAAAGCAAAAACAATTACCATCAGTGTCCACATCCTTTCCGTATACTCTGGATGACGATAAGCAGCAGACAGTTGTTCCAGTTCACCTCCACCTCTCGAGTCATTTCTCAAGGAAAGCAGGCACCGCATGTACAACATCCATTTGTAGATGTAAAGTCCAAATATGCTACAAAAATATGCTACAAAAATGCAGTAAGAAACAAACGTGCCTTGTGTATTCAATGTAAATAATAGGTTCATATTGCAAAACATACCATTCATAGGTTGGTATGAAACACCTAGCAGGGTATAGAAGGGTCTGAATTGCTTTGGCACCAGGACTGTGTACGATTACACTGTCACTTTCTTTGAACCTACTATCAATATCAGGCTACATTTACTGAATGTGCCATGGTAAATGAATCAATTTGACAGCTATTCTTCTTACATGTCAGCACCTAACCTAGAAGCCCTAGGACATAAGTATAATAAGATACTATTTGTATTTCCCCCGTGATGACTTAAATCCATGAGCATCTTTCGTGCTTGTGTGCATGTCTGTGTGTGCGACAATATTAAGATTCTTGCAAAAAAAACAAGCGCTTTGGCATGCACAGCGGACAATCAATGTGTGTGTGTGTGTGTGTGGGAGAGGGTCATTCTACTGTCCCGTACATTAAGCTAAGTGCTCCTCAGCTCTCCAGCAGTAGTAAATGGAGTCTTATGGCTTGAGGGGGGTTTGTCTTCCAACTCTGAATCAAAAGCAGAGAGTGTCCCTAGCCTTAGGTCACTGCTACTGTGAATCATCAAATTCAGGGGATTCAATAGATGCCTCTCCTTTTGTGTGTTTGTGTGTGTATGTGTGTGTCCTCGCACGCTTTTGTGTTGCATGTGCATGCTTGTGCATCGTTAACAAACGTATTCAGTATCCTTTGTGGTGAATATTGAATATGATGCACAGTTAATGTCAAAGCTGTTTCTTAGTGTTTAAATACAGTAATAAAATGCAAAAAGCGCCATCATTTACTATATTTCTTAAATTTTAAGTGTTTTAACATGTAGCTATTGAGATTATATTTTTTAAAATGAGAATAATTAATCAGTTGTGGAGAGGGTAATACATCAAAGAGCTTGCTGAGAGTCATTTCTGCAGTGGAGCAAGTCTGTCTCAAAGAGCTGGTACAGTTTGCAGGCTTTAATGATGTTAATACTGAGGCTGAATGTCCCCGTACTTGCATCAGTCTGTCATCCCTTCTTTCCCCACCCTCTCTTTCTCTAGGAACTACTCGCAGGTTTCAGAAGCGGTAGGATCTGACATAGCAGGCACACAGGCAGCCACTGTCTCACACTTCATCTAAAGAGCCTACTTATCTCTGAGAGCCTGTGTTAGGTTATGCAATTATTGTAACAGCATTGTATAATCTTTGTGTGGTGCTCGTCAATAGTATTACTCCCTCTGTGGCCATCATTTGTGGGCATTGAAAGAATGAAAATGGTCCACCATGCTGAGACTGCATCTGAAAACCAAGAGCTTTACTTGCTGCACAGACTTCTTTATATAGTCAAATTAAACTTGGTGGTGTAGAGAAAAATTAAACAAGTAAATATGAGCCATGAGGCTCCATCCATGTAAGACTTTAAGATGGGATAAAATATAACACATTATGATACAATGAATATGAGAAAGATATGATAAGATGTAACATTTATTTATACAAATTATATATACAGATTATAGAATAGCATTCCATATAATCTGATGGGATTGGATACTATACTGTTTGATATGATATAACCGTAATGTATGATATGATATATGATACAATAAGAACTCAATAATAATAGAGAATTCAATGAAACTATATGATTGCATAATGTATCATGTCTCACTGGTCTGTGAGTTTATAAAAACAACTAATATGGAATCTGTAAAACTATTATAGGACTGAGTTTGAAGGCTGATTGAAGTTAATAACCACCACCTTTAAACACTGGGTTCAGAACGTGCATTCTGTAATTGAATAAAGTTCTGTAGTGCTCGAGATGGTTCTATATATTTTACAGATTATTCTGCGATCTGTGTAGGTTACTTAATTTTAGAAGAGTATTATATGGCATTTTGTCTTTATTGGACAGAGAAAGCCGAGGAGAGGCAGGAAATATAGGGAGAGAGAGTGGGGGACGACCCTATGGGGACGACATGCAACCAATGGTCGCAGCTGAATTCGAACCTGCATGTGACCAATGCGACGAGAACTGTACCCTCTGTAATCGGCACTTGCTCAACCATCTGAACTAAACCAACGCCCCATTTTCATTGAACAATTGCTAAACCAAAAGCCTTGTTAGATATTTCTTCTATTTGTTTTCTACAACATTTTCAGCATGTGAAGCAAAGTTGCAAAATAAGGAGAGGGGAGAACGTTGACTACAATGTATGTACAATCTTGCATCTAACTTTGAAAGTGCGCTGAGACACTCTCAGGTGTTCACCAGCACCATGGACAGAGACAGTCGTTTAACTGCAACGCGCAGCTCCAGGGTGAACTCTGCATCAAGGTGAGGCACTCATCGCAACTGATCGCAACTTTAGTGGAAGCAGTTGTAGATATTTAGATATATTGCAAACAGAGCAAACAAAAAAAAAAATCACGGTGTCTCCAGAAACCAGATCTAAAGACCAACATTGCTGAAATTTTCGAAGAATAGCGTTTGCCTTCATGCAACACCCTTTTACCCTCTAACAGAAGCCCAGGTGTGTTAGTCTTATGGAACCATTCTCCTGTACCAAAAGTTAAGTTATTCACATTCACACTGACTGCGCGACGTCGCCCGCTTAAATCTAAACCTGTCTTAGGCTATCTGTTCAGCGAGCATGTGTTGCGGTGTTACGCGTCTTTCGATCACTTGACTAGATATTTCCTGGAGACGGAATCACCCGCATGACTCAATGAAGTACAATTATTGATTATACTGCACCCCCCCCTCCCTCTCCGTCCACCAGCTCTCTCTCTTTCTTTCCCTCTCTCTCTCTCTCTCCTTTCCTGGAGTGCTGCAGCGAGGGAGGACTGACTGCATCGAAAAGAAGCCCCACTGCCGTGCGCAATTACCTCTGATCTTATTCTTACAGTAAAAGCCCACGAGATTTGTTTTCTCCATTAAGCCAAAGCGAAGTCGGATGCAATGGGTAACAGCTCAGTCCACTGCTCTCGCCATAAATGACGGTAAGTACTTAGGCTACAACTACTTTCACTGAAAACATGCTGAGTGTGTACTTCCTTGTTGGGGGGGAAATCCGATATTTCGATATTTCCAACAAACATTTTAATAACGAGCTTCATTAAGGCTCTTAGATCATGTTGTTCATTTATTCAGTCTTAACAAACATCTTAGGTTAACATCTCATTATTTATTCATGCGTTAAAACATCATTTGTAAAAGTTAGGATGTTTTCCGGGCTTGTTTTTTAAATTATGCCATTCAGTCCATATGGCTCATGCAAAATGGAAAGTGGCATCCCTAGTTGAAAAAATAGCCACAAGGCACACGATTTGATTGAAATGAAGAGATGAATTGGAGTTGCTGTACCTTGTAAAGAGTTCAATATAAATGACTTATTATTTAAGCGTAATAAAAATGCTTAGGCCTTTGGGAGTACACATTGATATGAGATACCTGACTGAATTGACATGATTAAGGTCTGTCCGCAAGAGACCTTATTTGGTTGATGATGACCACTAATGGGAGCCGATCATTTGCATTTAGTTTTATCCAACAGCATGCTATTCTTAGCATGAGCAGAGTTTGGGGTTGTGGGCTGCGGACTGTGCACTCTGTAGTGCAATCCAGCCACCTGCCCCGGGGCAGTTAAAGCACTCTGCACTGCCGCCAAAAAGAGGAGAGGATGCTGGAGCAGGCAACTGACTCATCCGTGAACTGCACCTCGAGAGGCAGTGAGCGATTGACAGGCACACAGCCGGTGAACTGGAAATGTGTGGCAAAGTGCTTTGTTTGCAGTCTGTAGGCTGCTGTAGTGGTGCTGCTGGTTTACACTGAAAGTATCCAGCTGGGGAAAAAAAAGTCTAAAAGTGATTGAAGGTTGCAGATTTCCCTTCTTTTGCACACTTGATTTCAAGTCACTGCAGGTTTTTTTGACATTTGAAATATGACCCTTATTATAATCTGAATGTCCCTAATCTGCATTCAATGCCATCCTCCTCTAAAGCAAAAACGGACAGTCATTTTGTTATTTTTTACACATTAAGACAAAGGCATTTTCTTTTCCCGTTTTTTTTTACTAAGAGGAAATAAAGTATTCAAAGTACAATTAAGTAAACACAAATCTGAACTTTACAAACGATCTCGGCTACAGATTTTGCATTATTATTTTTTTTTACTATTTTTGGGACAAGTTGACCTTTGTAAGGGATATTACATAACCTTCAGGAATCTTTACGCCATCATGTCTACCTGCAATGAAGAAATATTTCTTTCTAGAAGGGACTCAGTAGTTCTTGGTAGTCTTGTCTGTAAATTCAGTTTGACAAGATGAGAAGTTAATTGTAAAAAATCCCAATTGAAAAGGTCAGGTTTTCCATCCTTTGCTTCGTTGTTGCAACATGAAGTGTATGGATTGCACTAGACAGTGGTAGTGTGACATTGTGTTTTGTATCTGTGACACTCACTGGATGTGTAGAAGCCTTGCAAGGTGGGGAGACCATATGTTTGTTCAGAAGAGCAAACAGATATCCGACTGATGCAACAAAAAAGCATAATTGACTAATTGTAATGTTCATGGTTGGACAGAACTTTTAATGGATTTCATTGATTGAATATTTGTTCAAACACAATATGTATGCTTTATCATGTTTCATTCAAGTATGTAAATTAAAAATATAAATATATACAGGGGAATTCTTTTTTTCCATAACTCTGATGTGCATAGAGGTAATTAAAGTCAATTCTTATATTATTGGGCTGTAAAGGCAGGCGTCAACTTGCTGCGGCTGCTTCATGAATCTGTATGATGTAATAAAAGCATGGTTTGCAATCTGCTATGCTTTTGAAGTTTTATCTTTGATGCCGAGGCGCTGCTAATAAAAGGCAACAGATGAGGTTTGGTTGCTTTCAAAGCTGTTTATAACATTTCCTCTTCCTTATGTAGAACCATTTGCAGAAACAACCATTTTCTTCCTCTCTCTCTTTTGACGTTTATTTTTCCCAGCGCCCATTTATTCTGATATAAATACTCCTCCTCTCCCTGCTCGTCCTCTCAGTCAGTAATGGCATCAGTGTTTGATGAAATCTCCTAACGGAAGACATCCCGGGCTGGTTTTGCCTCTGCCTCTCAGATGAGGTCATGGGTTCTCCGTTTTGATGGGATTACATGCGGCTCTGCCCACTTAGAGATTGGACCTGCTCATTCTGATGCTAATAGAGCAAACCAGCCATCAAACTGCCGTGTTTGTGCATGTCTTTGAAATGACACTGGCAAGTCTACCCTGACTGATATGGAAAGCAATTGCGGTGCCTATAGGGAAAGAAACATCAACTTTAACATTAAGAAACAGAAGCAAAAAAGTAAGAGTTCAAAATGCATGTTAGGGATGCTAGCCTCATGCATTTGTTTTAAACATTTAATACACTCACAAATAAGACAACCCAGAAGCTTTTATTGTTTTGCGTCATTATTTTTTATTTTTTTCTAAGGACCAGTGCCTGGACTACTGAACTGCACTCAGCTAAAAAAAAAGGTGCTATTGATTTCAGTCCAAGTCCTTATAAAAAAACATGAAGTATTTGTCTCCTCCAGCAGTTATGGGTCAAGCAACCAGAAATTCTAAGACAAGAATTGATTTTTCACTTTTTTACTGTAACAACCTCTTTGTCCACTCTAATATGTAGACACTGACATCAGTTCTTCTGACAAAGCCCATGGTTTAAGGAAACCCGTACCTTGCTGATAAATGCTTCATTATTCTTGAAGTTTTTCTGAGTAAGGCTGTTCATTATCACCATCATCATAATAATGCTATGCACTGTTTATTTGTCCTTAACTCCTTTGTAAGTCTTGTCACTTTAGTTCTCTTGATGTTCAGGCACACAGAACTTGTGGGGCAAGTGATACTTGACTTGGTGTTTTTTTAGTATTCTAAAGAGGTTAAATGAAAGCAGGGCTGCTATCCATCATGCAGACAGGGGGTATTACTGGAGCAAGGCCTATTTTCTGCATCCTCACATGGTTCACAAAAACTAGAGATATGTACTCTCTTTGTGTAATGTAAGTGCTTGCCAGGACACACTTGTAAAAGAGATTTTTAATCTCAATGCATTTCTCTCCTGGTCAAATAAGGATTTAATTAAAACATAAAATAATGAAAAGAGCTTTGCACTTGGACATTGTATTGGTACATATCTTTATGTCCAAATCCATTTTCCCATCACATTTTGGTTCAGGAGAAATATATGATCGAATGCTTAGTTTGGTTTGGTTGCCTTGGAAGAATATATAAATGGTGTGTAATGAACATAAGTAAAGGTAAAGAAATGCATGCGGAAGGCAGATACATTAAAAAGAAGACAAATATAAAGCTGCTGGAGAAATTCAATGGGTTAAAAACCCAAGCTTGGTTGGTGTGGGGGTGCTGGTGGTTCCCCAGTTTGATTGTGATTACTCCCTTTGCTCAGGTTGTTTGCGCTGTCAGGGTCTTGTCATCTGCGGTCAGGTGAGGTGGGTCGTCTGTGTGCTCGCCTGTCCTCTGAGCTTCATCACCGCTGACAGGAAGCCTCACTATATACTCCATTGACTCTCTGACAGGCAGGCTCCACCAGGATACACCCCATTTGCTGGCTATTTTCTTTTTGTAAAAATGATGTGTGATAGCTAACATGAGCTGAAAGAATAGATGTTACCAGTTCATTGACACTGCAGTGAGCTCTGACATGCTCCTTGTGGTGGCCGGTCTACTGAAGCTTTCAAATTCATTTCACTTTAGGATGCAGTAAATTGAAGGGAAAAAAAGGATCCATAAATGAAAATAATCTAGGATGCCTGGGAAGAACCTGTTTTTTAAAGAATAGAAGTCATCTACAGTGAGTGTTTTACAGAATTAAGAAACAGTTAGTGTCCTGCATTGTGCATCTCAAAAATAAGATGGACAGTTCTCTTTGGATATAAGAAACAAATGTCTAAAAATGTGTCTTCATTGATCCTGCGTATGGAAAAGTGTCTGAGGCATCACTGGTGTCAGTGGAGACATTATAAAATTACCGTTCTATGCGTAAAGGAGTGTGCTCATAAGCTCTGAAGTCATACAATGAGCCAAAAGAGATTAGTAGAGTCACCTTGAATCAGCAGTGTCATTTTGCCCAGTAAAATTGCATTACGAGAGCTGAAGCTGGCCCAGTGATTAGTGTCCTCCTGACAAGGCTTCAGTGTTCATTTGAGGCTGTGGTGAGCAGCTCCTAGACACACTGGAACGACACAGTTCTGACCTAACACACACACACACGCACACACACACACACACACACACACACGCACACACACACACAAACACAAACACACACACACGCACAGTGGACCGGCACATCTCTGACCACTCCTAAATGTCTTATCAAGATGAGCACTTGACATTTTTTCTTTGATTTACTGAACTAAACCCTTTTAGTTTATCCACATGATGATGTGTTTTTTTTAATTTTATTTCTGAAAATGATAGATTAAATAAGACAGAATAAGTCTGAAGTGGCAATGTGATGATGAATTGTGGATCACAGTTTGAACACTCACATGAAAGCATGTTAGAGTACTTGCAGTGGCAGGCTGGGGTCTCCCTCCTGTCAGCACAAAGGGGAAAGGGCTTCCCCCTCTGTGCAGTGAACTCAACTCTCATGTGCATGACATGTTTGGATGTTTAAAGGAGTCTTCTTGTGCGTCTATTTTTATGCATGTCGCAAATATGTGTGATCTTTTTTATGTTTTAAAGGTAGCCGACTGCATACAAATCAGGGTCCTTATAGAATATTATTTGTGTGTGTTTGTACTATGTAAGCCTGTTTCTGAGTGTTCATTTATCTATGTATCTACTCATATCAATTTCCCCTTTTCTCCTGTCTTTGCACGAATCAAATGCGACAGTGCCGTTCCGGTTGAATTGTCACTCTCATTACCATAAACCAGGTCTTTATTGGGGGCAAATTGATTTTTGGGCAAAGCCTTGTTTATTAGCTTCTGCTCGTCAGAGATGATCTTGAGTCAGCAGATTCAGCATTCTCTGTTTAAAATGTCACTTCATAAGTCCAACTCATGAAAGATAAAGGAACAAAAAGCAACCATGTACACTGAATAACCATTTTTTTTCATAAAATGTGAGAGCTACACAGACAACTCTTATTTTCTCACATCACTCTTAAAGATTAAAAGTCCTAGGGGAATGTGAATGAATGATTAAAGAGGATTGGGGCTGTCACTTATTAGTCTAGGAGGCTACAGATGTAACAGGAGAGACATGATTTACAGGCACTATCTGATGAGTATTTCTCTCTACTCTCTATTTATTTCTTCTTCCTTTCTTTCTGATCCCTTCACCTTTATGTTCTGTATTTTTCTCCATCTTTCTTCCTCTTTATATTTACGTGTTTTTTTCTGTCTCCCCCCCCCCATCTCTCTCAGTTTGGCCGATGATTGCCACAGCCGTCCTGGTTTATCTCCTGTGGTGACTGGGGACTCCAGATTTTTCCTACCTGCTGTATCTCGACGCTCACTGGTCTCACCACCTGCAATTCCAGTTTATACAAACCCCTCTTCCTTTTTTTTCCTTTTTTTTTTAAACTTCTAAGTATTCTCTGAACCCCCCGTGAAGACCTACTGTTGGAGCCAAAATGGAGGACACTTACAATAACAGGACTTCACTAGCTAAGGGGGCCAAGGACATGGTGAAGGAAGCCAAACGGCACACAGCAAAGAAAGTCAACAAGGTGGTGGACAGAGCCACAGATGAGTACTCATCCCACCGTAACTACAGTCGATTCCAGGATGAGGAGGATGAAGATGAAGATTTCTACAGGAACCCACCAAGGCAGGACGGAGAGCGCTACAATGACAACGAGGAGGGCTCCAGTGATGCCACTGAGGGCCATGATGATGAGGACGAGATCTATGAGGGCGAATACCAGGGGATCCCCTCTGCAGGAGACAGGAGGCACAAGGAAGGTCAGGTTGCAATCGGGCAACCCGTGTCAGATGCCACGCGAGACCGTAAGGGGTTAGAGGAGGAGAGGCAGGCCGACGAGGAGGAGCTGGCCCAACAGTACGAGCTGATCATCCAGGAGTGTGGACACGGGAGATTCCAGTGGCAGCTCTTCCTGGTGCTTGGGCTTGCCCTCATGTCGGACGGGGTGGAAGTGTTCGTAGTGGGCTTTGTGCTGCCTAGTGCAGAGACGGACATGTGTGTGCCAAACTCCAGCTCAGGATGGCTAGGTGAGTCACTTTGTGTGAGTTTCAGTGCTGATGAGTGTGCATTAGTGTCCATGTGCCAACAGGAAATGATGTGAATGATTCAATAGTAATGAACGTGCCTTCAATGAGCAAACATATTGCAGTAATATAATGCAACATTGATAGTTAAATATATGTGTGTGCATTAATCATAATCTAAAATAATGAAGGGACACTTTTCTGTCTAACTGGTGTCATCAGGGTGTTATTAGCTTTGGACTGGACACTACTGGTTTTTGAACAGAATACGTCTGCTACTGTAATGAAGTTACTTCAAGGGATGTGCTTACCAGGCAGGCAATGTATAATGAAAAGTCCAGTTGCACTAGTGGATGTATTTGAAAATGGTCTAAACATCAGACCATCTAAACCCCTACTTTGGTATTTTTTTAAATGTGTCCCTCATAGGTTGAACAACTTTGTTGAAAAACATATTTCATCAATTGAAGAGCTCTTAAAGTAACTAGTTGACACAATATCACTTATGCCACATAGCAAACATCTCTATATAGTTTAATTTCACTTTGATGTGAGGGTGATATTATAAAGCATTCTTTATAATACACTCAGTTTATTCCCTACAAACTTTAACTATTTAATTATTTGACACAATAACATCCAAAATCAGACAATTTCAGTATGCACATTCATTTATGTATATCAAGTGTACAAATTGTAATATCAAGCTTTAAAACATAACAATGACTGGTATACAGTATTCAACATTGCCATAATGAAGGGCCACGCTACTTATTGTTGAATATCACTTGTTGGAAAAATTAGATTAGTTATGCATCTTTACACTTCACGTGTCACACTTTATCCTTGGGGTGTTTCACATGGACGAGATGTTTCGGTCCACTGGTCTCTGTGTCAGGATTAGGAAAGTAGCTTCTATATCCTGTATGCTCTTTGTGTTGAGAAGGAGTCCCAGCAGTCCCAGTGGCTGCAGGTGTATAATCCATCACCTCAGAGCTGTGGGCAGGGGCTGACTCACTGTGTCACTACCAGAGAAGCGAGGACATTAATTCTAGCACACAGACTTTAGATACTAACTGCCACTGTGAGACATGACAATGCATCAACTGCACTGCAACATCTGATGTAAAAATGCACCGCCTCCTTTAGGAATAAGAGTTTGTACATTCTGGACACCTTCACTGACACCCTGTGTTATGTTATTACCGCACTTTTACTTATCTATATAAGTTGGTCCATCATTCCAGATAATAACACATATTTTAGGGATAATATCTAAAGAGATTTCCCAGAGTGGAAGAATAAAATACCAACACACACTGTTTTATTAAAATATATTAAAATAGTATTTAATGCAAAGCCATATGTGGGAGTTAGTTGTATTCACAATATGTTGTTCTAAGTATCCATATAAACTCTTTTTCTTTCTCTCTAGCCAAGCAAATTCCTACAGGCATTTATGCTCCACGCTCTGCTTCTACTTGTTCGTGACTCCATCCCACACCCCCTGTCCCTCCCTCTCACCCTCCATTCTCTATGTGCCTCTCTTTTCTTCTTCCATCCTCCCCCATTCTCCTCTCCTTTCTCCTGCTGATTGCCCCAAGGCTCCTCCCTGTGGATGGGAACATGATTGGTGTGTGCGCTTGTATGTGTGTGTGTGTGTATGTCTGAGCTGTCTGAGCTTGGCCCACATGATTACTATGACCTTGTTGGTTTCCATTTGGAGTTTTCCAGAGTAATTACACTTAATTAAAGCAAACACAATGGAGGGAATTGATGTTTTACAGGTGGCATGGTAATTCTTTATTGCTTTGCGTGTGCTTAAAAAAGCAGCAGCCTGTTAAATATGTAGAGATAATTTATTAGGGTGGTCTAAGATTTCATGTTAGTTAGCCTTAACCTGACCAGGCAGAATAATATTATTCTTATTTTGAAGTGAAACAAGGAAATTCTCTGCTGGAAATATGGAAGGGGGGGGAGGGTTTTTGACCAAAATAAAACAAAATTGTTAAGAAAAGACAGTCAACCATTAAACCAAATGTCTAGGTTAGCACAACCAAATCAGTATTACCTCCGGAAGAATCTGTGGCTACATACTTCAGATGTGCTTGTGGTAAATAATTAATATTAATGCAGATTCACTTACAGTATATTGAAAAAGCACAGCACAATTCTTGCATGCTAACAGCTGCCTGCCAGCTGCAGCCAACACTAGCCTGAGAGGCACACAGCAGAAAACAGAAGTAGCTTACTTTCAGCTCCAACTGCTAAGTTGTATTGACTACTGACTAACAATTCTCCTCTTCATCTGTCTCATTGTCCTCATTATCCTCAAAGTGTGCTATCATAGTTACCACATTAGCTTCCTGGTTAATGGAATTAGTAGTTTGGGATCCTCCTGACTGGCACCATGCAATTTTTCTTGGGCCCAAGGGATAGCTAAAGTAAAACATCACACTCATTGTAGTTCCCTGAATTGATTCAACCCTTTCTGAATTCTTGCCAAGGAAATGCTAGAATAACGCATGTTTGTATTGTTCTGCACATGTAATCAGACTTATCAATCACATTGCAAAAACAAGCAGAAAAGCTCAATGTCTATGATCACCTGTTACTTGTGTTTTAGGGGCGTCAGACATGTGAATGAAAACTATGATTAGAACTGGTTCTGATGGGATAATGCAGTATGATAAACTAAACAGAAAGGCCTGAATAAGATTGATGACTGAAATTGTGATTTGATTAGAGGATTCAGTTTGGTCCTACTGGTACATCCGTAATGAATGAAGGTAGAGAGTCAGGGTAGGGCTGATATACTGTAAATCCTCAAGATAAGATTGTATGCTGTGGGAAGACAGAATCGGGAGGGGGCAAAAGCTTTCATGACAGAGGATGACAGGGGCCATGAGAGGAGGAGGGACAGCTTTGAAGTTTGAGAGGAGCAATAGGGAAGGAGGTGTGGGAGGATGGGAGGATGGAAGGAAAGAGGAGGCGTTTTTTGTCGTATTCAAAAAAGCAACAATGTGAGGGAAAGGCTCAGCTATCATCTCAGACACAACAGACAATAGGGACACATCACCCTATCATTACTTATTTGTTTGCTTAGGCTGTTTTTTTTTCCTCCTCCCTGAAACGCCCCTCATCTCTCCTTCTGACTTCTAACTACTTCTCATTTCATTTATCATCCACCAGTCCCTTTCACCGATCAATATTTTCCTCATCTTTCTTGTTACTTCTATTCCTTATACTCTTTTCATCCCTGCTTCTCAGTCTACTGATCTTTTGCACCTTCTCGTTTCCCTTTGTGTCCAATCTTTACTTTGTGCCCCTCTTAATGTCCACCTTTAAAGTGCTTCTCCGTCTATTTTTTTTTTCTTTCCCCATTGTTCCCCCTCTTTCTCTTTCCCTTCTTCGCCAGCTGGCAGGCTGTGTGTGGCTGTTTGGTTCAGGGGCACCTGAGCATGGCTAAACTGCAGTAAGATCGCAGCGTCACTGCAGAGATTACACTACTTGAATAGTGCAGCTCCACATTGTGTGGGAGAATGTGAATGTGTGTGTTGAAGAGGGGAGGGGGGGGGGGGGTGCATTTGTCATATGGACCAAACCAGCTGCCAGCAGTAATATGAGCCACAAGTAAAGCATGTCTAACTGACTGCTTACTCTTATCAAGGGTTCATGCATCACTGTATTTCATGCACATTATGTAGAGTCTTTAATGTAATGAAGGTTGTATCATTACTGCTCCTGAGTGACTCATTTTAATGCCTGTACTCTAAGCCCTACAAACGGTTACTTTCATATAGATTGCATTGAAATCCTGCCCCCACTGATATGACTTAAAGATGACAAAAAGCTTCAATCCTTTTTTTGCGGAGGTGGCAGAAGACGGAGGCACGAATCCGATCAAACTGACACGATGTAGTACAAATGTGATTACACGCTGCTCAGTGTAAAGGAGCTGATGACAGTGGAGCAAAGAGGAAACTAAAGCAAATAGATGAAAGGGGGAAGCACACAGGAGAAGAGAGGAACAGGAGTGAGGGGGGGAGGAAAAGGAGGAAAATGGGGGGGGGAGGGGGAGGGAATAGGAAGTAAGGGAAGAAATCTGTATGAGAAGGCACAAGCTGAGAAGAAAAGAGATGGAGCAAAGGTTTGGAAGAGTGGCACACATGGAGATGGTAGATGAAATAAGATCAGAGGGATGAAGGGGTTGGGAGAAAGCGAGAGAAGGCGTTGAAAAGTAGTGGGGGAGAAACAATGGTGTCACTGTAGAGCACACTATAGGCACACTGTTGAATTATAGTATTGTCATTATGGATAAAACAGGACGTTTTTTTGTGCGATGCTGAAACAGTTTGCACTGCTAAGAGCAAAGAGCATCAAGGCATGATAATCAGAGAAGAGGTCGTGATGCAGCTCAGCGCTCCGGCGGCTCTCAGGGGGCTCCTCTGGATGTGACAGGACAGAAAACACTGCACCAGGGTCTTTCCCTTCTTCCCCCTTTTCACCTAATTTTCCCACCCCTTTTACTCCCCCATTCACAGCTTTTACTCGTACATCTTATTTGTGCTTGCTCTTGTATACATTTACATTACTTGTTTTTGTCCCTCATCTAGTTTCCAAATTGCTAGTTAAATATAAAATGTTATACATGCATTTTATAGTGTTTTAATCTGTTCACTTTTAGTGTTTGTGTGTGGTTCTTTTACTCGTTATCTTACTCTAGGCACCCTCTATATTGAATTTGCTTTGAGATCAGTGCCTGTGAATTGGCTGAATATCTTCCTAGAGATGTGTTTTGACACCTCAACAGAGTGTCAACGGGCGAAACCTTGTTGCCTCTGCCTGACAAGACACCTGACACACTGTCATCTTTTGATGGTGCACAAAGACTTCACGGGTCAACAGGTCTAAACTCTATTTTACACTCCCCTCTCCAACTGTTGGAACCAACTTAAGAGGTTTTGCTTCACATCTGTTTGATACTTTCAAAAGGTCAAATTATTTTTCCATGTTAAGAACCAATACTTTACATATCAATCTTAATATGCAAGATTCCTATATTGCATGGTCTTAAGACCAGGCTGAACTAAACTATTAAATCATTCTTCCCATTCTGCAGGCCTGACGTAGCGCCTGCATTTATAGCCCTGTTAAATCAATGAAAGATCATTATTGTGTGATAGCACTCATGAAAGGGGGTTTCATTAATTAGAATACTGTGGCTGCTTCTCCTCTGATCCAGCCTTTAATTTCTAATATCAACAGACTGACTCCGTCTGATGAAACGTTGTGACATTTTGTGGTTGATGTAAGATATATACTGTGAATATTTAGTGTAGAACAGAAATAGTGTATGAAGTGCTGAAGTGCAGAAAATTAGAACTTTTTGAGATACATACTCTCTTAATTTGACTGGTTGACTGGACTTAAAAGCATAAATCCAAGACTTGCAACAGTTCACTGTATTTTATTAAAAACCTGATGAGATGAAAGAAAAGCAAAGCTATTTTTTTTTTTAAGGGGACAACATTTTGTTTTCCTGGAGCAGGAAGTGACCATCATGTCACCCACGCACTGGGTGCCACAAATGAATCAATGACATAAACAAAAGGCTGTTAACATGTTGAATTCTGCTGTAAAGTTTTGCATTTCAACATGGGGCTAAAAGGGGATTGATTCACTATTGGAACCAGGCTGGTTGAGGAACTGCCATTTTGTTTGCACTTTGGCTTAATTTGCCAGCTCCACAGTTTGCTAATTGTACAGAACTAAAGGTTATCATATTCATTCATCATGTGATGCTTTCATTTCTAATAAAACATAGAAAAACAGATTTCACAATGTTAATATAATGCACACGAGTAACTGTCTTGTGTAAAAATATTTAGAATATGATCCCTAAAGAAGAGTTACACATGATGTCATGTTTACATTCAAAAACAGAAACCACTCTGAAAACACTATTAGCTTGTTTGATTACAGCAAAACTGCCAGCTACGATTAGCGTCAGGATACAAAGATTTTTGGGAAGAATAAACTTTGACTTAGAGATGCGCTATGATTGTGACAGTGAGTCAGTGTGACTGTTCCTTTGGACAACTTTTCAACCTTAAATTTAGCTGCAGTGTAGTAAGCGCTTGGTTCGAGTCCAAATGGAAAATGAGACTGTATCCCTCTGACATCACACTAAAAGCGTAGCGTGACTCATAGCCAAATAAAAAAAAAATATAAACCTCTTGGTACTTAAGACATAGTTTCAGTGAAAATATGTGAAATAATTATCTTACACCAACTTCCCTATGGTCTTGTAGTTATCAGACAAGCCTTGTAATATTAAGGGATGTCTGTCTTTTTATATCACACTTTTGAGTTATACACTGCACTACTTCTCTTTGCTGGCACGGCTGACATCATGCTCAGAGATATCATGCAGCAAGTCAGACAGAACATCAATAAATTCATTACGTAATGGACTGTCCAGAGAGCGATGTATTCATTAGTCACCAGTTTTATTGCTCTTTGTTAGAGGACGGTGAAGAAGCAGGAATCAGAGGTTCTCTCTTTGTCATGTAGTTTCGTCTGTTTTCGTCGAAAGTTGAGCACTGAAACTCAAGTGAAAGGCCTCGATGGTTGAATGCATGACAATTAAATGGAAGGCCAGTGGGTGTTTGCCTGCGCACCATGTCTCCAGCGTCTCCTTAATGAAGCAAATGTGAACTGTGCATAGACTGAAGACTTCCGTTAAATTTAGAATTGAATTTATTGCACCTTCAGGGCGAGTATCTAGATGGCTGCCAAATGTGACAGATAGCTGGGTTTTGACCCCTGAAGCGAGCGAGTCAAAAAGATATCAGCTCACAGCAGAGGAGAAGAGACCTGACTGCAGACATTACAGAGAGGAAATGCATCTTGCTATTAAGATTATCGTAATGGGATGAACAAAGTGTCCCTACGGCTGAATCACACCACTCCATATATGACTATAGCTTGCAGTTTGTCTTTTTCATGTGTAAACTTTACATTCACATATACTCTCTGAACCTTGTTTTTTTTCCTGTGTCTACATATGTCTATAGGATTACGAAAACAATTGCTGCAATGCTATCTGTAACTATTCAGTGCTGCAGCACTCCAAAAGACATTTGTAAATGAGAAACATTCAGCAGGAGTTGCTCTATTCAACACAGTGTATGTCCATGTAGGCTTTAAACACACAATGTCAACATAGACTAAAGCAGTAATGATGAGCTTCTCTCTCCAGAGCAGAATCATGATCACAGAGAGAAATCAATGCTGTTTTGTTGGAACATTGATCCCATTTGTGACAAAGGAAATTGAAAGAGCAGTGGATGCTCTTTTTTCTTCCTGAGCCACTCTGTATTACTGTCCATATTTGTCTCCTTATTGATCAGAGCATGTTTTCAGTCTTTTACAATCTGTATTTACTTTTCAATTGGCTGTCTAATTCACTGTCCTCAGTCAATGCTTCTATTTGAAAGATCTAACATTGCTTCATTAAGATGATTAATATTGTTCTAAAATGGCCAAGTGGATGTTTTATGTGTAAATAGTTAACTGTCAGCTTTGTTAGCCAAATCATCTTCTCAAAAAAATGAATGTTGTTTGAAGCCTGTTTCACCCACCCATGGTAAGAAAATAATGTTTTCCTGTAAAGATAATCTAGAAACTGACGGCAAAAAAACAACTGCAGAAGGGGACATCAATCTGACCCCTCTCTCCGCTTCTCTTTCCAGGCAGTGTTGTTTACTTGGGGATGATGTTTGGAGCGTTCTTCTGGGGCGGTCTGTCTGACAAAGTGGGACGCAGACAGTGCCTCCTCATTTGCATGTCCACAAACGGCTTCTTCGCCTTCCTGTCATCTTTTGTCCAGGGATACGGCCTTTTCCTCCTCTGCCGTTTCGTGGCAGGCTTTGGGTACGTCTGATAAAGTGGAGATCACTCTGAGACTGACGAGGGGTGACAAGCCATCATTTTAAATAATTTGTGAAATGTCAATTCAAATGGTAGGCTACACTACAGCACCTCAAAATCTCCTTCTGTGGTGATAGGATGGCAACATCATCAGTGACAGTACAGAATCAATCTCTGTCTCTCCTAGTCGTTACTCTCTATGTTGTTTCCAGTAATTCACTTTAAAGTTACACACTTTAACTCTTTCTGTTATTTCTGTTCCACCAGATGTTTCTTTATATCTGCATAAATGTCATTTTCTCTCTGAGTGCTGCAATACAGTGCAATAAAGAACAAACAATGTCTAAGATGTTATAACCACTGACTTTCTTTTACTCTATATTTTTTTGTCTAGATCAAAAATGTCCTCACTTTGCTACAAAGAAACATGATGTAGCAGTTATTTATCACTTCCTCTTCTATAGATATGTAGCTGTTCCTTTAAGAGCTAATTCAGTAATTGCATCTGCAGTACAGTCTCCCCAGAGACATTCAGAGTAATTGGAAAGGCTGTCCAAGCTGTCAATGCAACCTGTGCCCTTGAATCATGAGAAATATGTATGTATTATGTTTTGAGAAAAAACAAATGCTTCATTTAAAATGTTTTCTTAGTCTCCTTGTCATTTTAGCAAAGAATCTTGAGTTTATTCTTCCTTATTGGAAAAAAAAATCCAACTTTGATTTTACAAAACAGAATTCAAGGAGAAATCTGAGATGATTACATTTTCCCTGCCAATGTCTTACTTGTCCCTTTTTATAAAAAGCAGGTCATTCTCCAAGAAATGAATACACCCCATGTACAAGTAATCACAAAATGAACCTTGAGAAACGCTGCTACATTTTGACTGTCTGCTGTATTCCCAACAACTTTCCTATTCTCTGTGGTTCTTGCAGGATAGGGGGCGCTGTGCCAATCGTTTTCTCCTTCTTTGCAGAGGTGTTGTCCAGGGAGAAAAGAGGAGAACACCTCAGCTGGTTATGTATGTTCTGGATGATTGGAGAGATCTATGCATCTGCTATGGCCTGGGCAATCATACCACACTACGGTGAGTTTAGTTTAACACCTAACTGGACTTGGAAGGCCTTTTGACTGTGCTTAAAGTTTTTGCATGATGGACAAGAAGCCTGGCAATGTGACTTTGTCTTAAACTCCAGATTACAGGTTAGACAACTGCAAGGCTTTCCTGTAGCTGTGCGTTGAGGTATCAATTACTTAAAAGCTCTGTGCTGCAGGCTGTGAGAGGCAGAGGTTAAGAGATTAAGGTACACATGGAGACCATAGAGAAGATGCATGCTGAAAGGGTGAGGGAGGGCCTGCAGGATAGGGAAAGCTGTGATTTATTACAATACTACATTAGATATCGGCTGCACTCATCATGAAAAGACACAAAAAGAAAGGAAGAGGCTTACTTCCTCTCCTCTTCTGCTGATCACATTCTTCTCTTTTAACCTGCTATCCTTTCCTTTTTACTGCCTCCCCTCTGCTCCTGTTTTGTACTCTCCCCGTCTCTGTGTGTAACTCTGTCCTTCCTTTTATTACCTCTCCTCTCTCTCCAGTCTCTGTCTCCGCAGAGTGTTCTTCTTGATCAAGCATAATTAGGTTTTTCTCCTTGCTCTAACAGGACAAAGCTACAGCCAGAGGTGATTTATGGCCAGACCGTGCTTTAGCCTACCTGTGACGTCAGCGTGAGGCAGACAGTGTGTGTGTGTGTGTGTGTGTGTGTGTGTGTGTGTGTGTGTTTAAGTGGTAGGGTGATGTTATTGGGCTGCAGCCACATACAGGTCTTCTTCAAGGGAAATTGAAGGCAATATCATCTGACATTGTAAGAGATCTTTTAGGTTCACACACTCAAACACACACACCACACACAAAAGGCATCAGAAAACACACACGGCAATGCTGATGATGGAGGTCTTCTATGTTTTTTTTTTTTTTTTTTACATTCAACTCAGGATGATGTACACTAACATGCACACACTGCTGTTGATCTGTACATGCTCTGTGACCAGAACGAGTCTACATGAGGAAACTGCTGTCAGATCTGCTGTTATGGTATTTTGAGGGGTGGTAGTAGCCTTACTTTGCTCTTGTTCTGTCCCCTCATTCAATGCAACTCTCACTCTTAGTATGTAAGTCTAAGTCTTGCTTCATACTCCAGCGCTCCCCGGTGGTTTTTATGTTTTTCTAAAGTACCGCAGTGCCAGCATCCAACAGGGCTATGACGTTTGGGCAAATATACCTCTTACAGAGATAACTCTAGGTCTTTTAATGAAGACATGAAGGTGTTAGAAAACGGGATATGGTACAAGTGCCCAAACCCTGTTGTTTAATACACCATTAGAGCCCTCATTTTTCTTCCCACTTGCTGATTTTTAGACTCACAGCTGAAGTGCTGAAGGAGTTTTGTGTGGCGCAGACCCTGATGGCACTGACAGGAGAGTTTAAAGAGTGTACTCATTGCAAAGCAAGCTCATCAGAAGAGTAATCTCATGAGACACTTCTCAGATCTACAGATTAAAGATTAAATACCCCCCTGTGAATTTCAGATCACAGTCAATTAAACGTCACCATTCTGCTCCTGCTTCTTTGATAGGCATAAAGGCATCAAAATTTGTAAGTAAAGTATCATATTCAATTTCTGCAGATTGGAAAACATGTATCATTCAGCAGTATGAATATTCTTAATTTATATGTTAAGTTGTTTGCAAAAAAGGCAATACTGAAAGTAAGAATAAATATTTGTACTTGTTATTTTATTTTTTAAGGAATTGATTATGAGATTATGGAAAATGTGCCTATTCATTTGCTCAAGAGTATATAAGTGAAAGAGTTTATAACATTGAGACAAATCCTTGGTCTGTATGGTTATATCTAGCAGAAGACAGAATCTGGTTTGCTAAGTTTAGCACAAAAGTCATAATTTCTTAAAGCTCCTGGAAACCCAAATAGGTGATAGCCTTCCAACAATGTAATTTATGGATATATAAAAAGCAACTGACTTTAAAGCAACAAAAAATTTCCACCTTAAAATAGTAGTTTCAAAGTCTATATTATAGTAAAATAAGTTTTGTGGGGAGATAGGTGTCTCTCTTTTCCAAAAGTTGCTCCGGTTGCCTTTGACAGCGGGCCGAGGATCTCTCATGAGATGGCTTTACGGCTTAACGCCATCAGTTCACACATCAGCCTTCAGCTAAAAAGAAGCCACTTAGCCTGTCTTGATTATGTATAATCAGAGGCTGAAGCCAAGAGACAGGAGAACAATTGACTGATGAAGCCAAGAAAAGAAAAAGAGAGACGAGAAGATCAAGAAGCTGGACTACAATAAATGTTAGACAGGCTTTTACATGTAAGCGAGAGCTGCAAGGAACAGACTACTGCAATTCTGAAGTCGAGTTGGCTATTTATTACATATATTTTAAAACAATGCAGTTGCACTCAGACCTTTGGTGGGTGCCAATGCACACTGAACCAAATTCCTCTAGTTGTTAAAAAAATTAGAAATTAGTGTCAACTCAAAAAAAGGAAACAAAAGGAAAAACATTTTGTAGTGCTGTCCGAATTCTAAGTGAGCATGGTCATACCCTATATAGTCCACTCAATGTATCCCACAATGCATTTTGAAAAGTATTGTATGAGCGGTGGTCACTATCCGAGCAACAGATATTGCGGTTCAAGATTTTTACGAGCGGAGAGTGGCATTTGACTCGGCTGCTCTCAGACAGACGAGAGAGGAGCGACCAGCATGAACACAGAAACTCATTAAAGTTCATATTTGGAGCTTTTTTTTTAAACTGAAATCTATGATCGGTTTTAATAAAGAGTAAAAGATCGTCAACGTTAGTGATGTTAGTTTGTCCCAATGATGATGACAGACGAGAAACGAGAGTCTGTGAGCATACATAAAATAGTTTTGGTCTGAAAATATGTCTCATTATGTAAATTTCAATATTTTATATGTATTTATTATTTGTAAATGTTTTGAGGAAATACACTCAGTATAATATGAGTTATCACTGAAATTCATGCCGTTATGTATCGTTATTATTGATCCTTGGTCGTTGTTAAGCTGCGCTTTTCAGTTGCGCGACAACAGCTCTGGCTTTCTCACTCCATGACCTATTGTTTACGGTGAGAAGGAAGACTCTGAGGGCAGAACAAACACAGAGCTGTGGGAGTGTCACCAACCTTTGGGAGGGGTTACTGCCCTTTGTGATGTCATGAAGGGAAAATCTCTAAACAGCCTGTTTGAGCACACATTTTCAAAAAGTGGAGCAGGCAAAAGACGGAGAGGATGGACTTTTCTCATAATTGGGGGGTTTGCAGACAGACAGAGACACATACAAGTGTTAGAAAAAATGTGCATAATATGTGACCTTTAAGAAGTTATACCTCAACTGACATTTTCTGAGTGTAGTAAGGGCCATTGATATATATATATAACAAAAGCATTTGGTAACTTTCAATCCATCTATCTATCTCGTCTGGTTGTTGGAATAGTGTAGTCTCACTGACTTAGTCATCCATACATTTAGTCAATTATGAACATAATCCCTGTAATGAGATTTCCAGTGGCCTGAGTGAAACAGTTACCCTGAGGGGCAGGAAGCCACACTACATTTCTGCAGAAAAAGGCAATCACTGCTGAACAACTTTTTTCCCTTTTTCTTTGCTACTCTCAATCGTTCTCTCTATCTCACTATGAGTCACTCCTGACACACACACACACACACACACAACACACACAACAACACACACACACACACACACACACACACACACACACACACACACACACACACACACACACACACACACACACACACACACACACACACACACACACACGAAAACAAATAAAGACCGTAGACCATAGGCACGATGTTGTCAACCAAAGTCATTACTTTACTACCAACAGAAGACACTAAAGGAGTGAAATCAATTTTCATTTATCTGCTTTGGATACATTTTATACTTCTAATGACAGACCGCTGCCCCTTTGAAGAAAGACCGTTTTAAGCAGTTGAGATGCATTGCTTTCAAAGCTAGATTTCAATATGCTCCGAGACTAATCCTAGCAGTGTTTTTCTGGCAATACCATTAGTGTTAACCCCCTCCCCACCCCTGACTTTCCTCCTACGCCTGTTGATGGATAATGGTTCTATTCCCTTTGGAGCAGCATCTCCATGAGGCACGATCTGTTGAGAAACGTGGGAGGTCACAGCTGAAACAGCAACCCCTTTCTGTGCTTCCACCCAAAACTCTTGTGATGTGTCACGATGTGTGTCACGATGTGTAAAAACAAAACAAAGAGGAGGACCCAAGAGCAGACTTCAGTGAGATTTAATATAGACTAAATACAAAGGCAAAATAAGACTTACTTCTTTAAAAATTCAGAACAAAAGTCCCAATCCATAAACAGGAGAAACCACAACGAGCCAGCAGGAAAACACATACACACATGAACACTGGTAGGTTAGACATAATGAACTGACAACCAGAGGGAAGTCGCAAAGAAGCTAGAGTGGAGCTCATCAAGTACAGATGTGAGAAATAAGACATACGGTAGGTGAAACTAATGGGCAATCAAAGTGGAGGGAAAAACTAGGTAAGTAACACTGGGGACAAGAACTACAAAATAAAATAGGAAACTGCAAAAAACCAACAGAGAACTCAAGAATATAACAGAAACAACCTCACCTTTAAGGGAAGGAGAAGAGAAAATAAAACATACAACACAAATAAGCAACAAAACAAGGAAAACAAACTAACAAGAAAAACTGATGAGAGAAATAGGTAATAGCATGAACCTTGCTTTCCCTGGAATGTGATTGATTGATTTTGATTGATTTCATGATCACAAAGTGCCCAAACCCCATTGGCTTATAAGATACCAAAGAATTCAGTTGCAGTGGTTCACATTTACATATCATAGCATTACAAAGTTGCCGGCTCCTGTCACAGTTCAGTCTTAAACAATGTGTTCTGTCTTTTTTCCCAGGCTTTACAAACAAAATCTGCAATAACAAAAGTTCCTTTTTTAAAACA